TGGACTCAGACTTTACCCAGGAGAACATGAGTCACTTCATCTTCAGAGGAAGAATACAGCAGTGGCTGTGTCCCAGACGAGTGGAGGATCCCGGGTTTTGCTTTTTGATTTTATAGGCAGTATCTCATGTAGTGTTACATTTCTGTATTCCAGATCTGGTGTCACAACATCCTGGTAGCAATCTTGTGGGGCAGATAGTTTTTTCATAATGCTGACAGGAGATCTGGCTGTTCTGTGATGGGGGCCATCACATCTTGGTGACAACTACAGTGTTGAAAAGGGGAAAAGAGGAGGTGATATGTGACCAGCATGCTTACATGTTATGACTGTCTGTCTAAGGAAATGGTGTTGGTTATGCCAACCATATCAGCAGGAGTCAGGAGCAGGGGCACACAGCTCAATGGAAAGACTCATATTAGTGCAAGTGCATCTTCCTGCACTCAAGCAGGTGGGCTGTGTACATATATCACTCCCAGCCCTGAGGTGAAGAGAACAACCCAGAGCAAAGGGAGCAAATATTACCTTACTCATTGCTTCAGCTGTGAATGTGTGTCCATGACCAGGGAGACCCTCTGCATGTGGGAGGTCTGGTTACCATTCAGTTTTTCCAGTGCTCTCATTTTGGGATATCTGTGTAGTGGGTTGACCCTGGCTGGATGCCAGCACCCACAAAAGCCTTTCTGTCTCTCCTCTCCACAGCTGGACAGGGGAAGGAAAATGTAACCAAGGGTTCCTGGGTTGAGATAAGGACTGGGGGAGAGCATTCATTGAATGTCATGATGAGCAAAACAGGCTCGAATTTGAGATATTAATTGAATTTATTACTAACAAAATCAAAGCGGGATAATGAGAAGTAAAATAAGTCTTTAAAACACCTTTGCCCCAGTCCTTCCCAAACTCTACCTCCTCTTTCCCCAGCAGTGATGGGAGACAAGGAATGGGGGTTTATAGTCAGTTCATCATAGGTTGTTTCTCCCACTGCTGAGGTAGAGGAGTCCTCCCCTGCTCCAGCATGGGGTCCCTCCCACAGGAGACAGTCCTCCATGAACTTCTCCAATGTGCTCTACTAAACATAAAGTTTCCTGAAGCTTTGCATTGGTCATTTCTGGAAAGATGCATGTGTTTGCACAGACTGAAGAGGAGCCAAAGACACCTTTGTAGAAAAGCTGACAGGGATGTACAGCAAGAAACACTGGCCTGATCCCTTGCCATAGCATTTACTGTAATCTCAGACAACTGGGCACCAACATGCTCTTGATGAAGAGACTAGTGATGTTATCCTTTGAAGAATGACTCAAGTCTTACAGTGTTGGCAAATGCTCTTCCAAGCTTATTGCGAGTGCATGGTCCTTGTGACAAAGTGTTAATCACAGTCAGTGATTATAATAAATTAAAAATACCTTCTCAACCAAGCACTGTGTGTTCTTCGATATTTTTGTAAACAGTGATCCGAATAAATCACTTGCTCAAGAACAAGCACTGCATTGTGTTCCCTCAAGCCATCTTTGTTCCTCATGTTCCTCTGGGTCTGTCTTTTCATCCACACAGGGGTTATTCCATTCATAAACTAACTGTGTTAACTTGCTTTTCTAACAAGAGGGCTTCACAGCACATTTAAGGCCTCATAGCAGTTCATCTGTCAGCCACAGCTTCTGTGAAGCTGACAATAGTCAATGCTTGAGAACATTCTTTCTGTGAGCAATACATGGCTGGACGAGTGCCCTGGCAGTGCCTACGCCCCTAGGTAAGCACATCTCAGCTCCCAGCAGAAGCTATTCCTATCTTGGTATTGGAAGAGTCTGCCTACTGTGATTGCAGCCTGCTCTCACTGTCTCTGTGACTCTTCACAGCCTGTCAGTTTTTCTGTTGACACTTTTTCAGTTCATCACAACCTCTCTTTTCTGTAGGCTTGCTTCCATAAGAGTAATATGCTCAGGCTGCTTTGAACCAGCAAATGGTACATTAACTCCTCTGAAACTGTGTGTGTGAGTCTGTGTCCATGTTCACTTCGTTAGCAGTTCCTTTTTTCCTTCTTTGGTTTACCTTCACATGTTCACACAACCAGCAATAGATACTGAGCAGGGAAACAAGTCACACATAAAATATTTAAAAAAGAGGATAGATACTTTCCCAGTTTGTCAGCTCTGTCTCAGATTCATCTCCTGGCTAATCTGTTGCAAAGTCTACTTATGTTCTGCAGGAGACTTAGGTTTTATCCTCATACGCTGAGAGTAATCCAACTATTTGTGTCAGAAGGCTTCATTTAATTCTTACTTTCTTCCAAAGGAAATACACCCTTTTGTTTTAATTAGAAAATTGTTAATTGCACATTTCATCTAAAATACTCTCTTCTTTCTTGTCTCATCTTTGTGCTTATGCAGATTTGAACCTTGTTTATGGAACATAAAAGGATTTTTCATTCCATTCTAACTTGTTTGTATTTCTTTTACCTTCTCATAGATAATTTCCTGTAACTAGTATTTTTACATTAATGGAAGAATATGCTAGGGGGAAAAAAGAAAGACAAAGATGGGGTTCTACTACTGTTCTCTTTTTGAGGGAGCAGCTGCAAGGAAAACTGGAAAAAAGGCCTGCAGTCTCCAAATATCATCCTTAAACTACAGACATAGAGTAAACCAAATACAACAAAACAGTGGGGTTTTTTACACATAGGCAACAGTGTCTGTTCCTTTGACATCAAATGTGGAAAACAGGCACAAACATTGTGCTAGATCCCTAATTAATTGCTTCAAATTATTTTCTCAGTGTCTAAGATATTGAGCATAACTGAGTCAATTTAAAGCCCTTCATGTTATAGCACAGAACCGGTTTTTTCAAATAATGTTAGGCTCAGTGAACTACAGCCCAAACACATAATAAAATTTAGTACCTAGACCCACACCATGAGGCTAGCATGAGAAGAGTGTCAGGCTGTTTAGGTGGGGGAAAAGCAAAGTTGGGAGTAGAGCCATCTAATCATAACTGGACTAAAAGCCAGAGGAAACTGCCTTTTCATTTCTAACCTGCACTGTACAGTTGTGGAAGAGGTGAAAGCTGTTAGAAAGTGGGTACAAACTGTTTAATCCCCTCTGCTTTGATCTATGTCTTTGCATAAGGACTGACAGTGGGACTGCAGTGACTGATATCACGTTGTCTGCTTCATTTCTGGTGCTGTGCTGGAGCCTCCTGTTCAAACACAGCCTCTCCCCCACCTCATTTGCAAACCAAAGGCTTCAGCAGTGGTAATGAATTGTTGCTATTACTGCATGGACACAGCATCATTTAGGTATCATCATCACAGTTGACTTCCATGTGCAAAAACATATTGAAGCTTGTCTCATATTAGCTGTGAATAATGGGTCTGTTGGGTGCCTACCAGTAAGTCCCAACCTTTAAACCTTTTGAGATCATCTGTTATTACTCACACACTGGTATCCTGAATTTTGGAACAGTTTGGCACTAAAGAGGGGATCTCTTTTGTAGGCAGTAGTAAACGAAGTTGTTCTCTGTCTGTGGAAGAAAGAGCAGTCTGAAGGGTCTGGAACAAAATCATCAGGTCTGACTTAGTCAGAACTTGTGATAGAAAGCTTAGTGATCTTTCTTTTGTCCAGCACAGAAAGATTCTGTTAAACAAAGATTTGTTGATTGCCAGCAGTTGATGGTGAGAATTATAAAACTAGTATGAGCCAGAAGAATTTCTAAATTATAGAAGAGACGTGGAACAGGATTTTTAGAGGGGCATTTAATTCCCCTTTTCCAACTTGCCTGTTGTGTCTTCACACTTCATTTCCTTTTTCTTCCTGAGAAATAACAAAAAGAATTATTTTAATGGAAAATGCAACCGTTGCCTCTTCACAGCAAGCTTTACAAGTACAGCAGGGAAATAAAAACACATCAGGTGACTTTGAGGCTGTGTTTCAACACTAATTAAACCAGCATTTTAATACTCCAATCTTAATTTTAATTTCCATTTTTAATTTCCTTTGAAAGTTATTTACCTTTTGCAAACCATTTGGATCAAAAATTGAAGTGAAATTTCAGTTCTCTTTAAGTTTACTAAGGACAACTACAATTTTTGCATCTCTTTATGCCCTCACAACAAATTTTGAATTTTCAGCCTTTTCAGTCAAATTCAGGAAGAAAGAAATATATAGGAAAAGTCTCCAAAACACCTGTTTTCCTGTGGGGTCCCAGTGTATCGAGTTTGTAGCTCTGTGAACTCAGGAGTTGATTTGAGGTCGAAAACATCTCAGAGGCTGTGGCAACTGACTCTGGGATTTCTTGATGCTTTTCGAGATTGAAGAACTAATGATTACAGCAGCCAACCCAGGCATTGGAAATGCAAGTTAAATCACAGAATAACATCTGGCACAACAAGTGCAATGACACCAGAAAACTCCCGTGGGGAGTTTAGGTACTGGTTTCATTTTGAAAAGGATCTTCCAGAATTGTAGCAGAGCTGTCATTGTTTGTGTAACATTGGAAGAGCCGTGACAGTTTTAAAAAGCTGTGACTTTTTCCTCCTTCACAAAAAGGTTATCTGTGATAATACGGCAATGGATTGGAGACTGGTGCGAGAGCAATGACCATCCCAAATCTGCTACACTACCTGGCTGTGAGCTGTTTAGGACTATGAAATGCTGATAGTATTTTTTTTTTTAGATAAACTTGACTGAAATAAAAATGACAGGACGTCACCTGGATTCATCTAGGAAAGAGAACTCCACATAAATGTTTTAGATTAGGAAAACAAATCTTACACACTTTTAGAATTGCTTTTAAGTGTACATATGATCAAAGAGAGAAACTGGGAAAAGTTGGATAAGGCTTATCTGGGGATGTTTATTCCACAGCTATGTACCTCAGCTTGCAGTCACTTGAGTGGTACTTTGACCACATCTGTGTTTCTTTCCTGGCAATAATATTTCACAGAAGCAAATCAAAGCATTTGCTGTTACTGCAGCAGCCTCAGCAGAAATGTCCCGGAGTGCGCAGCACAGACGGGGAGCGTGTGATCTGACACTCTCTGCTCATGAACTCGTGCATGGAGCCCCTGGAAGAACACACAGGGCACTGCAGAGTTAACCTGGCAAGGGACGTTTCTCGGTGGGATCCCGCTGCTTTTCAGGGAGCTTCCTTTGCGAGCTGTGTTTGGAGGAGCTGTAAGAGGGGGAGATGCTGCTGCTGCTGCTGCTGCTGCTGCACGTTCAGTGCAAAGCCCGTGGCTGTGATAGGCTGCAGGGACATGGATACTCTGCCTATATATGCTGGCAACTGCATCCTCTCCGCTTTGTAGCTGCCACTGAGGAGCAAAGGAGAGCAGTGAGAAGGGCAGGGGAGAAGCAAAAACCTTACCAACTTGCTGTAAGTAGCATTCTTTGTCCTTAAGTCTTTATGGTTATTAAATTGAAGTAGGTACTTTCGGATTAATGCAACAATTGGTTATGGAGAGTGGGATCTCAGTTAATAAACAGACAGCTTGTGTTATTTTAGGGATGATGATAACAATAATAACATTTATTTTTATTCTGGGTTTGCACAATCTAGTGTACATCTATTGTGTTGTGTTTGCTGTTTTTTACATCTGATGTGTGTCAGCTGTAACTGTTTCTATGCATTCATGTAGAATCCCATGTATACAAAAGTTTGTACCTTGTCTTTCCAAGTACAGCAGTGCTTGCAATAACCAAGCAGGACTTGAGAAATTCTATGCCTAATATTCTGAATAATAAAATTTCAAGATAAATTATATGCATGACTTTTTTAGGGTGATGTTTTCCTCAGAAATAACCCTTTCCCATCACAGTACTAAGACCTCAGCGGGGAACATTATGAGGTTGCAGACACTGTGCCAGTGACAGTAAATGAATACAGCCAGCAACTTCTGGAAAATGTAATTATTTAAATAAAATATAGAGGTTATAATATTCTCTTAATTCTTGACTTGTGCAAAGGTAGAAGTACAGTGTAGATCCAGTTCCTGTTTACTTGTGCTGAAGTAAAATTCATCCTTTGGCTCTTTTTCTGGCAGTATCCTATTGCCAGCAGGGGAAGTTCAGCTTAACAGTGGCAACAGCTGCAAAAACCTTCAGCTGGGTTCAGCAGCAGGAAGTTCTCGTGGCTTCGGTGGTGTCACTGAAACATCATGAGCCCTTAAATTACATTTTGGTCTGCAGCAATCAGAATAGAAAGTGCACTTGACTCATATATTGGAAAGAGACCCAGTTATAGCTGTATTTGCTCAAAGAAAGTAAAGTTTTAGGTGCTATTAATGTGTCTATGCATTCTTCCCGTCTGCATTCATAAACAGGAGCTGCAAAAAGATTTTATGTTGTTAGCCGTTGTTTATTTTAGTTTGATCAACTGGAGAAGAGGGAGACATAAAATTTTAATGTACCAAATACACGTCTCTCCTCATTTGCTCTTCTTTTGCCTTTTCCCTCTTTTTTTCTGCTTTCTCATCTTTTTTCTCTTTTTCCTTCTCATAATGAATTTCCTGGTAGCATTTAGATATATTTTACATTCATATTTAGTAAATATGAAAAAAACTCACCCAGATTCTGAAATCATAGACAATGCTTTTTAACAGAAATAATGAATGAGCTGAATGTTACCAAGAAAATACTATACCTATAAATATCTTTAGTAATTACTTGTGTGTAAGGTATGTATGGTTCAGTTTCAGATAAAGTAGAAAATTGCTGGCAAATGAACATATGCAATCTAAAGACTAACAATAATTTTCAGTAACTTCAGTGAAATAAAATGTGTCTGTATTTCAGTGCTCTGAGGTAGGAGTAGTTTTTTAAAAAGCAGCAAAGGATATGTCAATTTTAGACTGTGTAGTGTACTTGTCCTCTGACAAATTACAGCAAAATCAAAGACCAAGGAGTTTATATATGAACAAGTAAAAAAAGATACACTGTTATAATTTAAGGTTTAACATGTTTTTTCTTGGTTTTACCTGCAGTTTAGAGCAGAACCTAATCTTCTCCAGTAAAGAAGGATTGGATCGGAAGTATGCAGTGGTAACAGTAGCCAGTGATTCTTGCTGGGAACAAAAGTGCTCAGGCAGAATATGTGCTTGGTAAAATTTTATTTTATCAATCAGAGTGAGGCTGTCAATGAGTTTGCACACAGGCTGCTCACAGTGTGGCAGAGGTTGCAATTAGGCAGGGCACCTCCTGAGAAGCTGTGCTCTCCTCACTTGGGGTTTAGCTCACAGATACTGAATATGCTGAAACTCATCCTGGGAGCTGTGGCATCTCTGAAAGTGTGGAGACTTTCTCAAGAAGATACACCAGTATTAAATACTTCAGAAAGAGGCTTAGTCTCTCTGAAATTTCCCTTTAGTTTAGGAAACTTGGCTTGCATTATTTTGCAGTTTAAGTTCCTTCAAGTTAAGTGGATATTTTGACTGCCTGCAGACTGTAACACTCATCCCTTCAGGAAGCACAAATTCTCTCAAACAGCATTTTTTCATTTTAAACCCTAAGGCCTGAGTTCTCTGAAGTATTTTGCTTCTTAGAAAATCTCTATATTTTAAAAATACACTGGCATAGAGGGAAGTTCTCTCCTTATTCATTATGTTGTTGCGTTGTACATGAGCTTGATGTGCACGCAAGTAGAGGTATTCTGTACTGGTAGAGAAAATGCAAAGTACTTAATTCAGTAATTTGCATTTTGATAGTATTCACTAGTGAGCATTACAGTTGCCTGCTGGAGATGGCTTCCATAGCAAATAGTACTTTGAAGCAGTGAAGTGAAATCTATAGCAAACCGTTCAGGAAGAGAATAAAAATAGGGATGAAAGGATAAGTGGGTCTTGTCACTCACAGAGGAACAGATATAACATAGGAAGTGAAAAGGATGACCACTGTGTTCCTGCAAGGAGTATGCCTTCACAGTTCCCCCATGAGATGCATATGTTACTGTAGGTAGGGGATTTTAGGAAGGAAGATGCATGAATAGAAAAAATCAGATCTTTAATTTCTTTATATTGCCTTTGGAGGAAAGAAGGGTTAAATACTTTGCTTCAGACTGAAGCAGTTTGACGTACTTCGCTGCACTGTAAGAGTATTAGAGATTATGTAAATATTAGTTCATATCAAATTATAACAGTACAACAACTATAGCACATTTGGGATGAAAGGTTCAACCTTCAAATCTTAACATTTAAGCTTCTGGATTCAGTTACTTCCATGCAAAACAGTGGGTTTCCCCTGCAATTTAATTCTCTACCTGAATTTTGCTATTGCAACAATGATTAATGGCAGAAGCCGTGCAGCCAAAACAATGCTAGGATGAGCCAATGAAACTCCCATTCTTGGGAAGAAATTACACAATTACAAGCAAGGTCTTCGTGATTAGACAAAATGTGTAGTTTGTCAAATTGAGTTCCATAGCAATAGACTACACCCACAGAATGTGTATCTGATATTTAGATATCATATTTTACTTGCTTATCCTGATATCCAAAAAGAACTTTGTCCAAACTTCTAATAATAAAAATAACAATATCAGCATCCTGTGTAGCAACAAGTTGATGTAAATGTCACAACCTATAAAACATACCATGTATGTTCTGGTAATATGATAAAGTAAATTCTTTTTTTCTGTGGGTTTATGAGCTGTGTTGGTCTTACACAAAATATGATTTAATTTATGCCATTTGATTTGTATTTTAGGACAAGACCATGTGATCCACAGAAGTTTTTATGTTAAGTGGTCCTTTTTATTTGAATACTGCCAAGTAAAGCTAGGAAGTAGTGTAGTGATGCTCTTATGCAGTGATGCTCTTACCTGCTGTGCTTGGGTTAGGGTTAGGGTTAGGAATGAGATAGGTGATATGATCCGTGTGTAAAGGTCTGTAGGAATAGCTGCAGCACACTGGTGATGAACAGCACAGTGCTGCGAACATCAGTCCTCATGCTCTGAGTCACTTCAGTCTCAGGCATCTCCCACTAATTTGTCATTGTTTGTTAAATCCTTTTTTTCATAGCTTTCTTCCCTGAAACCAGTGGAAAAAAATAACAGATCACCTCATTCAAGTTCTTTAGGGCATGCTATAGCAATGAACCCATGAATGAGGTAGCATAAAATAAATAATAATAGCATGACTTAAGAGTTAAGTTAGAGATGTCTTGAAAAAGAAGTTCAACAGCACAGTATTTAGATTTCTTCTGGCAAAAAATATCTAAACCAATGAACAGAGCCTTGGTGTGTAATTAGATTGGTGCCAGAGAAATGCATATTGTTTGCTGCAGTTCATGCTGATTTCTTTAAAGAATTTATTAAAATTTTGAACAATGAACAAAGATATGTTGAATGAAAATGCACGTAAAATTTAGGGAGTATGGAAGAAATTGAATCATCCTGATTTTAAAGGAGCAGAAACAAAACTGCATGCTTAAACACAGGTTTTCAAAAGGGAGTTGGCACGCAAAGCTGCCCACTGCACATTCTAAGGAGTGTAATAACCACTGGTAATGTATTTCCAGCAACTTAGTAGCAAGATATGAGGTCCTAATACTCCTTTATGAAAGGTAGAGACAGAGCCAAATAAACACTTACATGATGATTATAGAGAATACTCTATAAAACTCTAGTGAAATAGCAACAGGAGCAACCCTCTCTGGGCATTTAAAAGTCCCTGCTGTGCAGATCCTTGCTCTCCCGAGTGTTTTGTGACCTGCAGCACCACCCTGCCTTCTTAAATAAAAGCAGCAGCTGCTCCACACAAATTCCAGATCCCCTGTCTGTAGCAGCAGAGACGTGTCTAAGACAGTGCTTGGTAATGTTTTTCTCTTGTGATGTTACGGTACTAATTCAAATGTAATAAAGCCCAGGAGGTTCTCTTTTCTCAAAATTATGTCCTCAGTTAGAAATCATTATCACAAATACTTGATATCTGAAAAATTGTCTTCTACTTATCTAATATTCACATTGTGCTTACTATAATTATTTCCTTACAAAGCGAAGATCTACAGGTGTGTAAGCTAAGCACAATAGTTCTTGAGACCAGCAGTGAATATTCTTTTTTCTCTTGCCAATCTTCTGACTGGATTCCAAGGAACAGTATCCCTCAATGTGAGCATATAAGGACTCAGGGACACTTTTTTGGTACTCAGTGAATAAAAAGTTTCAGCCACATATTCACTGAGTACTCAAAATGCACAGCTAGTCAGAGTAATAAAATTGTGAGGGCCAGGGTGGCAGGAGCAGGCACTGTTGTATCATGAATTTATGTTTGCAGAGCACTTTGCAGGCGAACTCCAGCTCCTCTCAGCTGAGCCGTGTATCACCTTGGGTGTGCTCACACAATCTGCCTGTCTCAAATAACCCCTGGAGCTGCAGCCCAACGTCTTAGAAGTATGGACAGTCCCAGACAGAGCTTTCTCACATTCTCCTGCAAAACACAGTACAGACCAACTTGAAGTGAATTCTTTTTGAAACCTCACTAAGAAACAAAGTTTTGTAGATAACAAAGCATGTGCATTTACAGTGAAAGAGTCAAGAAGCTAGATCTTGAGACAAGACAGGAATTGAGAAGCAGATAAAATGACAGGGCAGCATAGTGGATCACTGTGATAACTGTGATTATTATAGCTTGTTATTACAAATTATAATAGAGACACACAGCTGGCTATTTTCTTACACTTATTCTCCATAAGACATTAGGGAGCTGATTATGTGCCACTTAACAGTGCCACATCCTTGTGTCACCCAGCAGCTGTAGGGAATAAATCTGTAATTTTTGAATCTTCATCAATGTGCTTCTACTGTTCTTCTGTGCTAAACTTATTGTCTGTGTGTATTAACCTAATCTGCTCATATCATGATCATTTGAGTCTTCCTACAAATCATATGAATAACAGGTCTAAAACTAGTAAAATTCTCTTTCAAAAAGGGTTCTTTTTTCTCTTTCTTTTAGGTGTTTTTCCGAGAATAAGCCCTAAACTCCATTACCCATGGATGCTGCAGAGTTCCGCAAGAGAGGGAAGGAGATGGTGGACTATGTGGCGGATTACCTGGAGAAGATAGAGAAACGCCAGGTGTTCCCAGATGTGGAACCAGGATACCTACGGCCCCTCGTTGCAGACTGTGCACCCCAGGATCCCGAGAGCTTTGAGGATGTCTTTAAGGACATTGAGAAGATCATTATGCCAGGGGTAAGAGAAATGGAACTGTAGTGCAGCGTTCAATACTGCGTTTAGGTTTTCAAACACCTCAAAGAAAGTGGGGGTTTACCAACATAAATACCCACACTGATTAACTTTTAGAAGGCAGGAGTCAGCTTTACATGTTGAATATGATCTGACTAATGTTTTCCATTTTTCCTAGAAATAATCAAATAATTCTTTTGCTTCATGCATCGTTTACTTTTGAAAATAATTCCTTTTCCTCCCTTGAACTGGTTAAAGCAAAACTTCATAACTTTCAGTTTCATGTGATATTTTTACTACTTTCATAGCACAGTAAATATTTTACAAAATAGTATTTTTATTAGTCTGCTGTGCCTGAAGTGTTTCTTCAAGCTGATCTTTAAATGTTAAAATTCTCTTAGGAGACTTCTTTTATTAGAGTTGACTAGAAAGCTTTCTTCCCAATACTTGTTCTGTTGACTTACTCTCCTAAATGTCAACTACTTCTCGTAGCTTCTAAGGCAGACCACCACTGCCTAAATATTAGTCCTTGAATAGATCAGTATTGGACAGACAATGCAGAACTGTTGGCAAATCATCTGGCATTTGTTCAGGCCTGAAATTTTCTTGTTTTTCCACTCATGGTGCACCTTTTTTATTTTAAATATGTACTTGTCTCCTTAGGCCTCTAAGTAACTTGAAGAGAACTGAATTATTAGTAAAAGTTAATGAGGAATGTCTCCTTTGGATCTCCTCAATAAACACTTTGGGTTTCTTCTCTAGATGCAGCTAGGTGATATGATTGTGATGGGACTGGACACCACAATCAAATTGACTTTAGTCAGTGTACTATGATGCCAATTCTTTTCGACTGACCAATGTAAATATTTGATATTCAGTATGATTTTATCTTGTTTTCCTTGGAGACAGTCAGCTGTACTTTAACAGGCAAAAGTTCCACTGAAGTCAATTGAAACCTTTGCACTCTTTTCAAAGATTTGAGGATGAAGTCTTAAATCCAAGGGGATTAAATCAATGCAGATTAGATAAGAGAATTATGTCCAACACGTGCAAATATTTTAATTGATGCTCATAGATATAATTACCTTTTCTTTTTCATTGGAGGAAAATAGTAATGTCTGTGAAGTGGAAAAGAAAATACTTTGAACACCTGAGAACTTTCATTAAAATAATAATGCATTAAAAAATAAGAGATGAATCACTCGAGAGTAGAAAGTGAGACATTGAATTCCAATTATGTCATCAACATGTCATGTTCTCTCTTAACTAAATTGACTTCTCTTGATATTTACGTGCCCTGCAAACAAATTTACTTTTACACAGTGATACATTCTGAAGAAAAAGTGTTCTATCCTAAATTTTTCCACTGGTGTGAAATGTTAGTGACACAAAGAGCACAATATAAATCCCAGTTCTTATAGTAATTCTGATTCTACCCATGTTGCTTATACTTAATTCCAAAGACTTACATGGGCACAGAACCATGAGGTCCTGTACAGTAGAGATTGGCTGGTATCTCAGGATCATTTAGTCCATACCCTCTGCTCAAAGCCGAGTGAGCTAGAGCAGGTTGTTCAGGACTATGTCCTGCTGGTCACTGAATATCTCCAAGGATGAACTTTGCTGTCCTGTTCCAAAGTTGGATCACCCTCACAGTAAAAAGGCTTTTTGTTATGTTTAATTGGAATTTTCTCTATTTCAGTTCATGCACATTCCTTGTTGTCTTGTCACTGGGTACGTCTGAGAAGAATCAGGCTTCATCTTTTCTACACCTTCCTGTGAGGTGTTTATACACATGAACAAGGTACCCCCTGAGCTTCCTGCAGGCTGAACAACCCCAGCTTTTTCAGACACTTGTCACATCACAGACACAGCAATTAATCATCTCCATGGTCTTTCCCTGGAATCACTCCAGCAGGTCTTCGTTCCTTGTACTGGAAAACCCAGAACTGGATGGGTGTGGCCCAGGTGTGGCCTTTCCAGTGCTGCATAGAAGGGAAAGATGGGCTCTTTTCATCTTCTGGCAGCAGTTTTGATACCCTGGCCCACAGAATGCTCTTGGGTCACAGTGCTTGCTGCCAGGGGGCATTGCTGGCTCATGATCAGCTTGGCTACCAGGTCCATTTCTTCTGAGCTGCTTCCTAGCCGATTGATCCTTGCTCTCTATGGGGCAGGGGGTTATTTCTCACCAGGTACAGGCGTTTTCATTTCTTTAGTCAACTTCATGGGATTCCTGTTGGCCCATTCTGCAGGCAGTTAAAGTCCCTTTGAATTGCAGCATGACCACACAGTGTATCAAACACTCCTCCCAGTTTTATGTCATCTGCAACATTGCTGAGGGTGCACTCTATCCCATATCAAGGTATTTAATGAATTACTAGCCTTTGCCTTTCATTCTTCATGTGACCTATCCTTGAACACTACAGGGATGGAGCACTCACAACCTGCCTGGGCAGATGTTTCAGTGCCTTACCACCCTCACAATAAAGAACTTTTTTTTTCAAATGTGTAATCTAAACCTACTCTCAATTTAAAGTCATTCCCTCGTGTCCTATCACTACATGCCTTTGCAAAATTTCTCTCTCCATCTTTCTTGCAGGCTCCCTTTGGGTACTGGAAGACCACAGTTAGATCACCCAAAGCCTTCTCTTTTCCAGGCTGAGCAATCCTAATTCTCTCAGCCTATTCTCACAGGAGAGGTGCTCCATTCCTCTGATCATCTTGATATCCCTCCTCTGGACTCGTTCCAATAGGTCAATGTCCTCCTTTGTACTGGGGATCCTAGAGCGGGACACAGCAGTCCAGGTGGGGTCTCACCAGAATGCAGGAGAGGGGCAGAATCCCCTCCTTTCCCCTGCTGCCCACACTGCTTTGAATGCAGCCCAGGGCACTGCCTTCACCACTTCTTTCCTGTTGGTAAATGTGCTGTCCCACACCCTGTCCCACATTTTTGTCAGCTCCTCCACAGTTTCCTGTGTTAGGTAATTATCAATGCACTCCAGAACCCTCCTGACTGTGTCCTGCTGTGTTGTCTGTCCAGCAGATATGAGAACTATGACCTGTGAACATGAGGTTTCTTCCAGCTGTCTGAATGCTGCACTCATGTGCTTCTTCTGATCAGGTGGTCTGTAGCAGATGCACACCCCCAAATATTGCCCATTTTGATATCTTCACCAGTCCTGACTCACAAGTTCTTGACTGGCTCATCATCCATTCTCAGGCAGAGACCAGTGCATTCCTGCTGTTCTCTTCCATAAAGGACCACCCTCTGCCTCGCCTTCCTGATCTGACCTTCCTGAAGGGCCTGTCCTCATCTGCTGCAGCACTTCAGTCATGCAAGCAATCCCACAGCATCTCTGTGATCCCAGTGAAATCATAGCCCTGTACCTGCACTCAGCCTTCTCTCTCCTTCTGTTTGTTCCCCATGTGTTGTCCACAGCTTATAGGTGCTTCAGCGAGGCACCCATTTGTCTTGATTCCCCAGAAAAGATGTGAGAGCTCCTCTGTCTTGCCCCTGCCCTTGTCTGCCCTTTCAGCATTTCCTAATTTATGTAGATACACTGAAGCTCAGTCTGCTTTAGCCTTAGCTTCTTTCTGAGTTCTCTCATGTCCCTTTGCTTGCCAGCTTGGTCCGTCTTCCTCCCTTGGTTGTGGGTTTCCGCTCCTTCCCTCATCATTCCTAGTTTACAGCTCTCCTTACCAAGTTATCCAGCCAGTCTGCAAAGATATTTTTGCCCTAATTGTTCAGGTTGTATTTTCCCTTTTCCCTTATTCTTCTTCCCGTGTTTTTCCTGACAAGAATAACATTTAAAAGTACACCTAGTGTTTTTCATCTATAGCATTTACCCACTGTTTGACCAGGGAATGTCTCATATCCCTTTTATAAATGAAGAACTTCAGAAAGGGCTTTTTCAGAAAGAATAAGTAATATGACATATCATAAACCCTTGTTTTGTCTGTAAGCTGTTGATGGCCAATAAGTGATTCTTGTTTCATTCATGTTGACATCTCTACTGTGTTAGTTGTGTTCAGATATTTGCTACTTATTGTATAACTAAAAATGTGAAAATGGTGTTCCTTCAGAAGGGCAGGGATCAATTAATTGTGTGAAGTGATAATGATGCAGTATCTATTGCTGTCTTCACCCTGTAGGAGAAAAGAATTTGTGAGTAGTGAAATTTCTTTATGGGGACTTACTGTGAAATGTAAGGTAGACCTTCAAAGGGCAGTCCACCCAATGATAATGACAATAATGGCCCTAGATTCCTGATTCTAACACAGAGACAGAGGGAATAACTGCAGAACTCTGATCTCCACAGCAGGCAGACTGTAGGAAAGGATCTACATGTAAAAATATCAGTCACCTTTCACTCTCAGATTTGCTTTGCTGTCCTTCTTTTTTAGAACCAAAAATGATCAAGTGTAGTTGTAACTGCAAATAGTGGTACTCAAGATGCTAATTTTCCTCACATTGGATCCATTAATCTCTAAACTTTCAGCTGAAGTACCTATCCTCAGCTGAAGTACCTATCCTCAGAATGTGGTAAAGGAAGACTATTGCTTAGACCGAGCAAGCCAGAGAAAGACATCCTTAGAAGAAATCTTGGAAATAGAATGTATCTGAGAAGCACTAGAGTGATAATTAGAGTGAACCCAAGACATTTGTATATCATTATTTATCAGCAGAGGGAAAAAAAAAAAAAAAAAACAGGCATCAATTATGTCAGGCTCTTTGCAATATCTGACTGAGTGTATCTGTTCCAACATGGTGAAAAAAAAGAATTTTACAGCTGCTTCAAGAGAAGGGGGAAGGGGAGTCAGGAGGAAGAAGCACAGCTGCACTTGCCCCAGGGCTTTTAGCTTTTTTGCTTTGTGTGAGTGGTGCAACTGGAATCTGCTGTGTTTCATCAAGCAAATGGCTCCCAGCAAACAGTCAGTTTAACTTGATTAACCTAAGATGAATGTCACAAGTCTTACAGATCACAGAGGATTAGAGCTGGGGAGATGAACAGTGGCAGCCCTGGCTCATTACGGACATCAGTGAAAGTCTGTGCATGTGGATCCTATCAGGGACCACTGCTTCTTTAATATTTTATTGTGTTCCTCTGGAGAACCACATCCCATCTGGGGTGTTTTTCTGATTTGTGAAGGAAGACAATTGCCACAAGATCTCTAAAACTTTGTTACAGCAAAGAAGGATATCCCGACCAAATGTGAGATACAGCTGAAGAGGTTCACAGCGGCTTGTCTTTGGATAACTGATTTGACAGGTTTCAACCTAGTGACCATTAATAATGAAATCTTGAACACAGCAGGTACAGGGCTAGTTTAGACAGTGGAAAATTGTAATGGATAGAAGATGCTTTCATGTGAAAGAGATAGGCACATTTGAAATTGGTACACTGCAGCAGGGAAAGTGATACCTGATTCATTCTGTCAAGAGTTAAGGCAGTTTCCGCTTGGCATGGACCACATCCCTTAAAGAAGGGCTGGTTGTTGGCCTGAGGAAGGTTAGAAGATGAAAGAAACAGACTATTTGCAGCATGCAGTACTGTGTGGTGCAGCAATCCCTGAGTTAGCTCTAGAACCAAAAACCTTATCACAGACTGGGAGAGAGGAGTGTAAGAGCTAAAATTCATCAGAGAATGAATGTGGAACAAAACAGCAGAGAAACACTGAACTCAGGCAAGAGAGAATGTATAGTTGTGCTATCCTCCAGCTATAACAGAAGAATTCCAATATTAAAAAGGAAGCAAAATGATGTAAGAAAAGGCTAGCCTTCAATAACTCTGCAGCCGCTAGACTTCCACTCACAAAAAAAATCTTACATAGATCTGCTGAATTCTTGCTTACAGCTGTGGAAGACTTTTTTCAAAAACTTGCCTTTTTGAATATAAAAGCTGGTTTTGCCAAACATATCACATTATTTCCACTGAACAGTGCTGTGTGGCTGTGCATTTCCTGCTTTCAAATTTTATTAGATTAGAGTTGTGGAGCACTATCAAGTATCTCTCAGATCCTTAAAATTTCTTGGATGTTACATAAGAGAATTCTAAATATTGCTTTGGCAGGACAATTGACTGCCATTTATGCAGTTGCCATGTTGTTCTCTCATATTAGTTCATACAGAGTGGAGTTGTATGTAAGTCACAACTTGTTAAAGGGAGATGAGAGTTTCATTTTCTACAGAAGTTACTGTATACTGGGATGGGTTGTTTCATTTTGTGGTGAGGAGTTGTTTGGTCAAATTCACTGCCTGAGAATTAACAAACAACATGAGAGTGTGGACAAGAGAGTTCTGTGGACTTCTGCTGCACTGAAGACACTCTTCCTATGCCTGTTGTGTGACAGAGATGGAAAACCAAAATACCAGAGAGCCCCTGATGGTAGAGACTCAAGAGCAGTGAGCCTGAGCTTGCACAGAAGCTCAGGCTGCCATGACCCACACAATTCTTGTCTTCTAGGAAGAAAAATGGAGAACTCTCATTTTGGAGGTGTTGAGGGGGTTGGGGTAAGAACTTACTTATTTTTATTTTGAGTAAAAGATGGAGAAAATATCATAAAAAAAACAAGATAAGTTTTCCTAAAAAAATGGGATCCTCTGTTACAGCCAGCTAGTCAAGAACTGTTGGCTTGTCACAACCTCTAGCCTTTTTTGATTTTGTGACAATTTTTTCCTGCTTGCTGTATTAGTTAAAAATAATTATTTTCCACTTAATACAGGTGACTCACTGGCACAGTCCATACTTTTTTGCGTACTTCCCTTCAGCCTCTTCCTTCCCAGCTCTTCTTGCAGATATGTTGTGTGGTGGAATAGGATGCGTGGGCTTCTCTTGGGTGAGTTTACTCTGTTGGGTGGTAATGGTGCTTCACCTTGCCAGAATTTTGAGTGTTTCAGTAACATTCTACAATGAAATAATTGATTATTAGCAGTGAAGTCACAGGAGTATTTTTGTAGGTAAATTTCCTTGATTAATTAAGGGTTTTCACCCAGACAGCCTGAATGATTCCAGGAATAAAAGGCTATTTCCTCATACAAGTTTTGCTCTTGAAAAATCACCAACATTTAGAATTAGTGATAGCAATGCAAACATACTGGTAATCCAGTAATAAGTATGACTGTAGTTTAGCAGCCATTGTTGTTATTTCTCTTTTCATCTGGATGATGGAAAATTTTCTTAAAACCCCCACATTCATATGACATATACTCTTCTCAAAACAGGCTGATATTTGATGTTGGAAAAAAATATGCAAGATGCAAATTCTAGCTTTGATATTTGATAGTCATGGTTCTATGTAAGGCCTATTTTGACATTTTTTAGTAAGTGTTAGAAACTATATGCACAAAATGGTCTTCAGGTCCCTAACTTGTCTGGTGACATTAGTCATCTAGTCTCTATAGCAAAAAAAAAAAAAACAGAGAGAAAGAGAGAGAATTATTCTTGCTCAGGTAGATCTGATTTCTCTTCATGGTCTAGTGAGATTATTCCCTCTGCTCTGTTTTTCAACACAGGCTGCAAGTCCAGCTTGCACAGAACTGGAGACTGTCATGCTGGATTGGCTAGGGAAGATGGTTAATTTGCCTAAGGAGTTTTTAGCTGAGAAGGATGGCCAAGGTGGAGGAGTCATTCAGGTAAGAGGGGAAATGAAACAAATACAGATTGAGTTCTTGAAATCATGATTTTGTAAAATCTTTATACTAGGACACTAATGAAGGAAATATAATTTTTTTTGCTGCCACATGAGTTCCTTTCAAATTTCAGAAGGATTGATGGTCTGTGAGAATGTCTATAGGTGGGCACGATCATTCAGGAAAGTAATGCTAATGTTTCTAGAGCAGATGATTTCTAAAACACTTCTAAAGTGAAGAATTGTTAATAGTTCAATTTAAAATTTAGGCTTAAAATTCAAATCAGAATTGTGTAGGATGGAGACTTCAATTTGTTACTCAGTGAACTGAGCTCATATTTATCAAAAATATCCAGCAATGTTTCATAGCTGAGGTTAGAAGTCTACCTTTTCTATGTGCAATTGTTTATTTCAGTCAGTTTCCACAGAACATTGGAGATAAACTCTGATAAACAGAAACAGCAGAATGTAGTAAAAAGTATATCAGTTTTTGCCAAAGAGGTTCAAATTTCTTTAAGTTTTTCTTATACAACAAAAGGAAAAAAAATTAATATTATATTTTAATTATTCTATATAAAAATAATATATATATAAGTTTTTCTTATATAAAAAAAGGAAATAGCAGACAATTATAATAAAATGAAGAGCTGTTTAAAATGTGTACCTAAGCAGTTCTATCAATAGATAATACAATTTTGAGACTACAGTGCATATCCAAACTAGAAAAAAGTCCCCCAACTTTGACATTGACAGTTGAATGAAGCTTACAATGTCTGAGCAGATAACCTGACCAATAATTATGGGCAATCTTGGTCCTAGATGGACTTGCACCTACACCAGTGTATTTCCAGTATAGTTCTTTACTCATCTGCTTGCTCTGTTAGTGTCTTTATCATTACGATTGCTAGGGAGGGCTTTATTTTCAAGAAATCAAGCTTCCCTCATGCATGTAGCAGCATCTGTTTTGTACCAGTTAAAGCAAGCAATTATGCCTGATTGTTATCAGCAGGAAATATTGCCCCTCCAGGCTGACAGTGCTGGACTGCCCATAATTTTCATCAGAAACTGGTCATTTTCAGAATCGAAAGTGGGCTTTCTGTTCCAGCTTATGATGCAGTCATTTGGGCTGCAGATCTTCTTGTCTTGGTCTTGAAACAATAACGATCCAAGCAAAAGAGCATGAGGCAAAGACAACGTGTGTGAAAGTGCCGTTCATTCTGTGCCTAAATGCCAAGTAATTATTGTGCTATTGGGCAAAACTGAGCCTGTGAAAATTGCCTCTTAATTACATTTGAAAGTCTATGTCAATATGAAGCACTTTGTTGTTCTGTGCAAGATGACACTTCAAAATGGCAAAAGATGAAAGAAAATTTCAGTTCAGAGCTCTGGTGGACATGAACATCAGCTCTTGCTGATATTTCCTCCGCCTCTTGAGCCTGCTTGCCATGGCAACCTTTGTTTGCCTGTGGTAAAAGCAAAGGTATCATCATCCTTCCCTTAATGCAGCATGCAGCATTGAAGAGGAGAAAAAACAGCTTTCAAAAATAAGCAAGAAAGCAACTTTCTTCCTGAAGTTTGTAACCTGCTGTTCATTCTAGATAAATTGCTGGAAAGTGTACCTGCTTTGAATTTTAAAGAGTTTTCTTGCTCTGCAAAGAAAAAGTATTTTAGGGGTGAGACAAAATTATCTTTGGCCTGGCAAAGAACACTGCTGATTTATCTTACTTGTCAGTTAGCCAAGTAGCTCAAGAACCAAGGCAGTTTTTTTCCTCAAAAATATTTAGCACAAGACTTTGGTGCCAAGTGTACAGAAGAGCATTGCAAACCAAGCTCTGTAAGCAGTGTAAAAAGGTTCAGTGTAAAAAAGGTGACGCAATATAAAAAAAGTGATGTATGGAAACTGAGGCAAGGGGGGAAAGCCTGTGTCTGTCATGAGATGTCAAATAAATGCCTTAACCTTTGTAATTTCTTACAGCCATTTTCTTTTACGTATTAATGCCCGTTTTTGTAATATGTGTATTCCATTCATATCCTGGAAACGCACTAACAGTGTAAATAGTTACTTTATTTCAGCTATTTTGACTTTTTGGACAGAAAAAGCAGGAAGCTTTCTCCATGTTCTGATATTGTGATGAGAGCTCTGTCTGGCTACAGACCATACACAGAATAACATTATTTAAGGAGATTGCCAAATTATGTTTGCTGTAATTAATAGACCAAATTTCCTTTGCCCCTTGCCTCCACATGGAAGTTCTACCTTACTTGGCCAAAAGGAGTAATTGTATCCTAATTCCATACTGTATCTGTAATAATTCCCTCAGTTACCATAATACTGCATGCAGCAGCAGCAGCAGGAGGTATTAAAAAATGCACAAAAAATGCAAACTACTGCACAAAACTCTGCAGCTTGTGTTTATGCCTTGGGGTCTACATTCCTTGAATCTCACACTACCAAAAAGGCAGATAAAATATATTAATCATTGGCAATACATTCAGTGAATGCTCTGGGACTGTCCTCTTCCCAGATTACTCAGTTGAATTTCAGCTGGATTGCATTCATGCACTGTTGAGATGTTGACATGAGTAGAAGGGAGCTTGGTCTCATATGAATAGCTCAGCCAACTTCAGTGTAGGAGAAAGTCTGAACTCACTGGGATCATTCTCATATATGAAATCTGTCAGATCAGGCTCATCTTTAAGGAAATAAAATTGCTTTCCAAATATTTAAACATTTGTTGTTATTAGTAAGTATACTCAAGTCTTCAATAGTAGTAGGAGAGAATTTTGGTACAGGAGAAGAAACATCACTCCAAAATTAGTTTGTTGAAACTGGGGTTATTTCTGAGACAAAGATACTAAAATAAGTGACTCTATTCAGAGCGCTGTTATGACTCACATGATATTTAATCAACTTTGAAACTACCTAAAAACTTCATCTTGCTTAGAGATTCCCCAATACATTGAAATTTATGAGTATGTATTTACAAACTGCTACTAATAGTTTAAAAGAGTAGTTTAGGGCATGTTTCAGGTGCATTTTTTAGATGAAAACTATAAAAAGAATTTCTGGGAAATTGTATTCTGTGAAATTTACTAAATAAATTAATAAATTGATACAAAAAAATTATTTTTGTTATCACAGAGTATCCAAGACATATTTTAAACTGATGTTTTGTGAGTCAAAGTGCAATTTAGAAATAGTATGTCACTGTTCCTTTCATCTTTGTTGGTGATGAAGAAAACATACATAACTAATACTTTGAAGTGCAATTAGCTATATTGAATCATAGCAGTTTTGGTTTTTCAGTGTTTTTTTTCTCTTTTGGTCACAATAATTTACTTGCCCAAGGTAATTCTAATATGAAAGGTGTATAATTACACATGTGTCTTGATAGAAGTGAGAGCTGGCATTCAGATTGTGATGGAACTTAGATGTGCAGAAATCCAGAGTAACAGAAATCAGCAGTTACTCTGACATTGTTATGAATTAAGAGCAGACTGGTGCCTGGTCTGATAGCTTTTTCACACACATTTAAGCCTTAGTGAGTCCAGCTTTGTAGCACTTGCTTACGAGGCTGTTGCCTAAATGGACCAAGCATAGAGATTTAAGAGAAAAGGCAGAGGCATTGGGAAGGAAAAGGCATTGGCATTGTTCCTCCCTAGCTGTCAGACATATTTTTAAAAAACATAAGATTGCACAGTTTCTCATCTGTATTTTCTGTTAACTACTTTACAGATTAACACAGAATGAATGTCGCTTTTCTCCTTCTGCAATGTTTTCATCTGCAATCTTCCCTCAATTTATCCCCCAGGGAAGTGCAAGCGAGGCCACCCTGATTGCACTGCTTGCTGCAAGGACAAAGATTATCAGACAGGTGCAGTCAGAGAAGCCTGAGCTGACAGAAGCAGAGATCATGGGCAGGCTGGTGGCTTATGCTTCTGATCAGGTGAGTACCTCTCATTAACTTGGAAACACAGTACTTAACAATTTCAGCCATCTGAATAGGCAGGTGAATTTAGCATAAACTCTTTGGATTGGTGAATCTTACTCTACATCCTAAGTGTGTTCCATGGGGGTCTGTATTGGGATCAGTGTTGTTTAACATCTTCATAAACGACATAGACAAAGGGATTGAGTGCACCCTCAGCAAATTTGGAGATGACACCGAGCTGAGTGATGCAGCTGCCACAGCTGAGGATGGGATGCCATCCAAATGGACCTGGACAAACTTGAAAATTGCTCCATGGGAATCTCATAAGGTTTAACAAGACCAAGTTCAAGGTGCAGCACCTGGATCAGCCCCCAGGCTGATCCAACACAGGCTGGGGGGGATGAACAGATGGAGAGCAGCCCTGTGAGAAGGACTGGGGAGTGCTGGTGGGTGAGGAGCTGGACATGAGCTGGCAAAGTGTGTTTGCAGCCCAGAAAGCCAAACATGTCCTGGGCTGCATCCAAAGCAGCGTGGGCAGCAGGGGAGGGAGGGGATTCTGCCCCTCTGCTCTGCTCTGCTCTGCTCTGCTCTGCTCTGCTCTGCTCTGGTGGGACCCCACCTGCAGGGCTGCAGCCAGCTCTGGGACCACAGCATAGGGAGGGACAGGGACCTGTTGGAGCAATTGCAGAGTATGGACACGGAGATGATCGGAGGAATGAAGCACCTCTTCTATGGGACAAGGCTGAGAGAATTAGGATTGCTCAGCCTGGAGAAGGGAAGGCTTTGGAGTGACATAATTAAGACTTAAAGCCTGTATGAAAGACATGGGGGGACTTGTTACAAGAGCATGTACAGAAAAGGGGAAATGATTTTAAACTGTGAGTAGGGTATTATATTAAAGAAATTCTTTACTGTGGGAGTGGTGAGGCACTGGAACAGGTTGTCCATAGAAGTTGTGGATGTCCTACCTCTGGAGGTGTTCAAGGCCAGGATTTATGGGATTTTGTGCAACCTGGTCTAGTAGAAAATGTCCCTGCCCATGACAGTGGGGCTTGCACAAGTTGATCTGTAAGGTTCCTTCTAACCCAGGCCATTCTATGATTCTGTGGTAAGTGAACTGGAATGTCATATGTGTTTTCATAATATAAAAGATAAATATCCAGATGTCAGTGTTAAACATATTTATAAAGAGCTTGTTTGAAGTAAATAAGGATAATTAAATAAGATATTAATTTCAGTCATGTTTAGTAAGTCTAGGGTACCTTTTGTTACATCCAGTCTTCTATGTCTATCTGTGTATCTCCTACAAAAACATGTGCAAGCAACCATGCTCTCCCTTTATGCATGCATGGGTACAGGTGCATGTATGCAGAAAAACCTAATGCATGAAAAAAATCAAATCAGTCACAGTACTTGCAGAAGCGAAAACATTTTTTTCTTTTAAAAAAGAAAACCTTTAAGATATCCATCTGCCAATCAAGCTAAGAAATCTTGTAAGGAAACAGAAAACATAATCCTTGATTTCTGACTGTGAGTGGTATTTAGCAGACTGAGTTACACTAAATTCTCAGCAGGCCATGACTATGAGAGGCTTTTAATGTTAATGAAAGCAAATTCTGCTAATGTGAGTTCTGCTGCTGCTATGTTTCTGACACTGTGATCCTGCTGAAGGGCCATGAAGTGTTGTTTCTCTTAATATGTGTGACATTTTCTCACCTACACGTCAATGAGACAGAAAAAAAACCCTCTCTTAGTACTTACTGTTTATATTAAAGTAATATCGGATGTGCAGAGTAAAATGGCCAGGTTTCAGCCTTACTTTGATTTACTACTAAGTGTACGTTAGAGAGCACTGTAGAAGTTGTTAACACCTCACTTGCTCTTTGCTGGTGGGAAGAGGGATTACACTTGTGTGATGAGAAGATTCAAGACAAGGAAATATGAGACAAGATAACTGCTTTCAAGAGGCACAAAGGATATTTATCCTTCCTTTTTGTTTGTTTGGGACCCTAAGGTCAGTATTGCACAGACCACCAGTCCCAGAGCTCCAACCGACCCAGTGATGCACAAAACCGTTTACTTGTTTTGACTTTTTTGTCCCATATAAGAGGCTGACCTGAAATGAGGACTGACAGGCCTTCCTGCCTACTGAAGGTCAGAGGATCTTATGTTTACAGAAGGATTTGCCTTAAGATACTGCTGACCTTTTCTAGCAGATTGTTGCCGAGCTCACCGTTCCTTCTGCGTTAAGAACAGACCTGTGTGACTCATAGGCAATAATCCACAAAAGAAAGTTCAAGCCATTCTGTAAAAGGGAAAACCATTTACTGATAGAGCCCAACAATACCAGAATGCATCTGGAAAAGAATCTTGCTACAATTTTTGAGTCTTGATGAAGCAATTTAGGGGTTCTGACTGGCTAACAACCTCAATGTATTATTGTAGTTTGCTTATCTGCAATTCTAGTATAAATAAGTTCTAAAATAAATTTTTAATTGTACACTTGAAGTGTGGTATTGCTATGCCACACACCTTATTTTCCCCTTAAAAAGTTGTATTTCAAATTTAGGCTTCCTAATTTTCCTATGCTGGTGCCTAATTAGTCACCAAGCACATTAAAAAGGGGCACTACTGAGATACAAATTGATGGTACATCTGTCTTTAAAACATGTCATTCCAGAAATATGTTTAGCTGAAAGGCAAAAACTTCATCTAGGCTAGTTCAACAAAATTCTGGATTGCTATTTTTGTGATTATATGCTAAATTGAAATAGAATTAATAAGCAGTCTTAGGCACTGGCAAGAATCAACAAGGAGATTGTGAATGAGAATAGTCATGATATAAAAAGGTGAGGCATTTTCCTCTTTCAAATTAATGATGATTAATGAAATTATAGAAGGTAAAATAGCTTTTCTGTTTGTTTGTTTTAACCACGCTTTAAAGGAGATTATTTTGTGGCTAATGTACCTCTCATTGTCAATGGAGTTTTTATTCTTGTTATTCTATTGTAGTTCACAAATTTATGAGAATTTGTTGGTGATAACTTCATTTTTATTAACAGAGATGTGATTTATTTTCTAAAACAATATTATTTCAGGGGAATTAAATTGAAGTGTTGTAAATAATGAAGAGTTGTAAACACGTTTTGGGAATGATCCTTACTTGCCTAAAGTGACTGAATGATCGAACCACAATGTAGTTAGTATGTAATCAGAAAAAAATGGTTGTGTAAGAAAATATCTGTCTGTACCATACTGTGACATGTATAATTTTAGAGTTCCAAAAAGCTATACAACATAAAAATATGCTAGCAAGCACCTGAATCATTGTCAGACAAGAGGATTATCTGCACATCTTTTGATTGATCTAGAGCCAAATCCTGAAGCTCCGCATCAATCCTACCATATAAATTAAAGCTCTCACTAAGGTTAATGGAACTCTTGTCTAATCTGATCACGGCAATGGTCTCAAGGGTATTGCAGGGTTGCTATTAATTTATTTTGTGTATGTGTGTATTTATGTATATGTGTATATATATATATGTGTGTGTGTGTGTGTTCATCTACCTATAGGAAAGGTATGTATCTATTACATATGATCAACAGTTCTAGGATCTCAAGTATGGCTTCACTTGAAAGGACTTACTTCTTTAGTTTGTAAATTCAAATGAACTTCTTGCATTCCAGTAAAAGGTATTGGTCTTAAAACTTGCCCGTTTCCTTGTAGGCTCATTCCTCTGTGGAAAGAGCTGCATTAATTGGTGCCGTGAAGATTAAAAGTGTTCCTTCAGATGACACATTTAGTGTTTGTGGTTCAGCCCTGAAGAAAGTTCTGGATGAAGACAAAGCTGCTGGTCTTATACCTTTCTTTGTGAGTACTGGGTTTTAACAAATCAGTGGATTTAATGCTTCTGATAAGATGCTTTTGACATGAATAAATGGCCTTGTCCCTAACAGAGGCACTGGTAGGCAGCTGGGCTAGAATATTAGGGGAGGTTGCATGGGTGTTCTTCACATAACTTTTTGTGCAGGAGGAGAAAATAATTTGAGCAGCTGATTGTACTTCTCAGCAAAATTATGTTTGAGGTCAATTTTATAGTTGCATGTAGTCCTGCAGTGTTATAAAGTCCTAATTCCTCAATTCTGAACTGTTTACCTTTATTTTTCAGGTTCCAACTTACAAATAAAACAAGTTTAAAGGCAGTAAATTAAATGATGTTATCTCAAGCCCAAGTGTCTTCATGAAACAATAGTTTCCTCTTGATAGTATTTTAGCAAAAAAATGAACCTCCATAATATACCCCAAATACCATCAAGATCAGATGCAGTCAGGTACTTGTGAGTAAGTAATTAATCTCTAGCAAGTGAGTTAAAGAGAATGCAGCTGTGGAAACTTTAGATGTCAGCATTTCTTGTTATCTGTCCACTTCTTTTTTCTCCAGAAATTCCTGCTTTTACAGCAGGACAGCGAAGGCAAATATAGTTATGTATCAGTATCTTAAGCTCATAATCCCCCAAGTTTTGACATAGAGCATTGTTAGATTACCTAAAACTCTAAAGCTTGGTTCTACCATGATAAGAACCTGATCAAAAAGAAAAATTGACTATTCATCAGATCTGCTCCTCCTGCCAGTTCAGAATACTATGTTATTACTTCAAGTTAAAACAAGATTGTGCCATTTGTTTTTTTTTTTCCTATGATGTAAGTAACTTCTGTTGTGGTTTTGTACACCACCAAAAAAATTCTTTGCTTATTTCCAAGCATTATGCTCTACTAAACTTGATAAGGACCACAGGCTATATAGATTTATTAAGGGGTATAACATGCTACAGAGAATATGTTTTTACTGGCCTCCACTGAAGAAAAAATCCTCACACAACTAATTTAGAAACTGAGAACTTCAGAAATGGGATTTTTTTAAGAGATTCAAAAATAAGTCACTTTTTTCACAAAAAAGTCATGTCCAACAATTGTTGTTTCTTTTCTTTCATGTTGTAACATTTTGAAAAGGGATAATGTGACTTAAATTTCTGTGAACCGTTTTCAGAGGAATTAGAAGATTAAGTTTGCTTATACTCATGGATTAGTGCCAAATGGGGCAAAGAAGCTTAAATTTCACCAGGCTCTTATGAAAATATAATCTTTTTACTCTTCTTGTTATTACCCTTTAGAGAATGCTTTTATGTAATATGAGGATGACTAGAATGAGAAGTGGTTTTCATTTGTGCAGAGCACTGCTAATTTCTAGGGTGCCTAGAACTAGCAAGTCCTTAGGATGACCAAGCACATCCTGTCAATTGGTTTATAATATAACTGGGAAAAGAAGCATTTCTAGGGATTCCAAAAGGAACTTTTTTTCTGTGGGATGCACCTATTGAGGTGAAGAGCAAACCACAAGGCATGTTTTATTTCTCTTTGTTATGATCCCAGCTCATAATACCTTACACAGTATCCTGTTTCTATATCTCACTGTTAATTTTAAATAATTGCAAGTACAGCAGGATATCACATCTTCATGAAGTATCTATAAATGTCTTTTTTCCTCAGCTTTTGTGCATTAGCAAAAAAAAATGCAACTTGCCCCTCATAAATATTCAAGCCTTATTAATTTTTCTATGCATACAAGAGGAAAAAAATCTAATTCATGTATTCAGTGACACATTTACAAAGGGTGATTTAACTGCTGTTTTTCTTTCTCTGTTTGTTTAGCTGTGCAGCTTTCAAAGACAGCAGAGGCTCTGCCTGACTTAATACAGCCTGTATCGAGTCCTCCACTTATTTGTATACATAAAATATGTCAGGTTTAGCTTAGACTAGATCTCATTATCAGTATGGCTGGCCTCTTAACTCAAAAGGTGTGTTAATTCTCTGTCATGCTGAGCAGCAGTCCATGCACTGTATTAGTGCTCCCTTTTTTGGCTTGCAGTCTTCAAAGGCCATTCCATTTCTTTTGTTCTTTAGTAATTTGGTGCTGTTGTATTTTGTTCTGGCAAAAAAGATATGCACATTGCCAAGGAAACACCTCAGCCACTTGATTCCTTGTCGCCCTGTATTCACTGATCCTTCACTAAGGGGAGTGATTTAACATCAGAGCAACAAGTTTGATGGAAGAAATTCTGCCTGAAGAGACTTGTGACAGCAGCGACATCGCTCCTAATGAAGATGTCTTGTTTGCATCCAAGCTGCTACAGTCTCCCTTAGAAGCAAGGAAAGGTTTTGTAAGGGATTAAAAAGAAAACACAAGTAAATTGCAATGCCTTATAGGCATGTTCCTCCTCTTATTCTTAATGAATAAATGAAGAATCATTATACTGAACTTGATAGCAGTGCTTTCCCTGTAAAGGTGAATGGAGAATCAGGGTCGGGTTTGCTTGATGTGAAACAGGTTCTGTCATTACAGCAATCTGTTAACAAAAGGTTTGCTTTTCACTTACATAGGATTTGGAAGTCAGCCTTTTTTGGGGAGAGGCATTGTCTTTAAAAGGAATCTTTGCATTCCTACCCACCATCAATGTCCTGTAGCACTAGCAATGTGTATATAATTTTGTTCAGTAAAAGCTGTTGCCACTAGGGTACCCTGATCTCTACTTTTGTTTTCTTTCTTTCATTTCTGAGTTCAGACTTGTGTTAATTCATCTCTTTCAAAATACTTTTGTAGAAACTGAAACAGAGATATTTTCATATAGTAAAGCAAGGAGACTGTGCAAGAAAAGCACTTAACCATGTCAGGTGTTGAGACACTAAAGTAGTCACAATTTACTGAGGAGCCATTTCCCAGCACAGATGATGTGCAGCCCTTCACGTGGCCCCGAGTTAAGGGGGAGCTTTAAAACACGTGCTGAATTCATGTCCATTCTATTACTGTGAATACACACTGGTGGTTAAACCTGTGTGTAAATGCCTCTCTCACTTGGGGCCTGTGCTTCCAGCTTGACACAGGCCTCTGTGTTGGCAGAATGCTGGCTGAGATGCCCAAAAGTGAAGACCACTAAGTTAAGCACTCCTAAATTCAGATAGAGTGCCCACTGCATTCAAGCCTGGCTCACCTAAACGTGTGTATGTGGCCTGTGAGCTTTGTGCTCTCTTTCATAAGTCAGCACTGACAGATTGCAGCTGGCATATCCAAGGTACAATATACTTCAATGACCTCAACCAATACAGAGCTCCTACAACACAATTGTCTGCTGCCCAGCATGAAATCTCTCTGATTTTAAATGAAATTACTCTTCTGAATGTGATCCACAGGATATTAAGAAGCAGGCTTTTTCTATCCAGACTCACTCAGGAAACAATAAATCAGAATCAGACTGACAGATGAGCCATCTTTTCAGTAGAACACTTAGATCCTGACCACAGATTTCCATTTGGAAGAAACATTCTTCAGACACGTACAGATGTCTAGGGTGATGTTTCTTAACCCACAGTTTGTGGATGATTGCTGTTCTGTAAAATACTGAATGGTGGTTTAGAGAACTGTTGCAGTTTTCTTCAGGCCACAGACATTCTCATGAGTGCAAGCTGGCAAGAACTGAATAGGAGAAAATAAAAACAATATGTGAACATTGAAAGTTCTGCCTCATTTTAGTTATTTGCAAATGAAAAGCTTTTTGGTGGAACCATGCAAAATGTGTCCACATCTTTTCAGTAGCTGTAGGAGGTATTCCAGTTGAAAAGATTGAGAGGAATTGCTCTCAGGAATCATAAAGATGCATGTATGTTTCCTGACATAGCTCTCCATTTCAGGAAAGTAATACATGAGATGACTGAGTTAAGCATTTTAGCTGCTTTGTATTCACAACCAAGGGCTGAGTCAAATTTGAAGTGCACAACCTGAAAAGGAAAAGGCCTGCAGGCTATACTGAGCCATCAGTCCCATTTCTGTGATGCAGTCTGTCCCCTGCCCTTTGCACAAATGTGATTTTTCTGGTGTTACACAGGCTACAAATTGAGTTAGATTCATTCTGTAGTACTGAGGCAGGGTAATGAGAGTCCTGACAAGGGCAGGTGGTGTCACTCCAAGTGGTTTATGAGAATTAAAGAAAGTAGCTTTGAGGCTTAGACACCTGCAGAGAGGAAAACAAAATTATTTTAGAAATTGAGGTATACTTTACAGAATAAGCCATTATTTAAACAACTAAGCATATGTTGAACTCATATAATCTCTCACTGAAAAAAACATACTTCTTATCCTGATTAGGGAGAGTACCTTAACAGCAGTACAAAATTAATAACAATAATGTGTAACTTTTTGTTATGAAATTTCCATCATTATTTTAATTGCTGGACTAACCAAAGCAATTTCACTCTGATCTTGTCAGAAAATTCATACCATATTCCATAAAATATATGTGTAAAAGCTGAGTTAAGTCTATATTGCACAATTTTTATTTATTTCCCAATACATGCATATTCCTTATGCATATTTAAAAACTGGCATTTTCATCATGGTATCCTCCATTGTGGTAAATATATTTTCACTCTATTCATATGTGCCTTCTTAGGAAAAATTGAGACCAAATTTTTTCCTGCTATTTAAAGAAATACCCTGCAATCTTTTCAAAGCAGCCTCTCTAAGTGGGTGATTAGTCTTCCAGAGAACTCTTAAATGTGCCTCAAGGCACTTCAGTTTTCTGGTTTTCTGTGTCTCAGAATAGAGGCCAGTATAGATAAAGATGAGATTATCTTGAAGCAAAAATATATTAGCTTATGATTTTACTAACTATGTACATACAATTACTTCTCAACTGTATTTGTTCCAAACTCTGGTTCTTAGGAGCTTAGTATAGAAAAAATACTGATTTTACTAACTATGTACATACAATTACTTCTCAACTGTATTTGTTCCAAACTCTGGTTCTTAGGAGCTTAGTATAGAAAAAATACTGAATTGTCCCTTTTTTATTTTAATAATTACTTTTTTCAAGTTTTTCTGGGACATAATGTTTGGTTCTTGAAAAGTCCGCTGGATGGACAAGTATAATTTAGGGTTTCCTTTCTTTTCTTATTGGTCTCATAATGAATTTGCTGAGGGACACATACACACAGAAAAATGTGTCTAGTTCCAGATATATAGGGAAAAACTGCAGGAACAAAATATGTTGCTTGACAATGTACTTGGCGGAAAAGGTAACTAGAAATACTAAAATAAAAAAAGCAAAATTCTGGGTTTGGCATTTTTATAATCATGTCCTAGGTGTACTGTAATTTATGTGTGACCTTGGATAAATTATCTATCTCTTTTGTATTTCAATCCTCTGACTATAACACAGCATATTTTATTTGTCTATTTAAACTGTAGATTGTCTTTTATTATGTAAAAAAATCTAGTAAATGACAAAAAACATAGTCAGCCTTTTAGTGCTTTCAGAAATAAGAGAGGGTGTTTAAAACATAAGTGTAGCAATGAAAAATAATGTCAGTTTATATACCCTTGGTAGCTGGGGGTTATTGATTAAAATTCTACCTGCATATTTCCAAAAAATTACAATAGCTCATTTTCACCTAGTTATATTCTCTTTCTACTGTGAAACTTCAGCATTTATGTTGCCTCTGCCTTTGACCCACTGGTCACACAGAAGGATATATTAAATGAGGCATGAACAGAACGAAGGAAGGACTGTTCCAGTGTTTTTGGATGAATCTGGGAGAAGAAGTTTCTCTGTGAAAAAGTCTTGCAAGCCAAGTAGGAAACATATGCTGCTAGTGAACAGGTTCCAGGTTGCAGATCTCTTGAGCATAAACTGGTTACAAATCTCTGTTGCAGAGCTGTGGCTCTGATCAAGACAGCAACATTTGTCCATCTATTCTGTCAATAATAATTCCAGCACCTTTAAATTGCTCAAGTTCAGAACTTGTTTATGTACCATGAACTGCAAATCATTTTGGTGGGATTTGCATATGTTAAGATAGTACTGAGCCACGCAATAAACATGTGGAACTTACAGAAAATACATAAAATATAGCATTAGCACAACACTGTGCCTATATTACAGTACTTATTCAATTTTTCATAAACATTTTTATTTTATGCATCTGCTTCAATGGACTGTTATGGGAGCCTTGGAAAAAACCAACCCACAGACTTAAAAGTTCCACTAAGGGACTACTTAAGTGCCACTAATGACTAACATAATTTTTTTTTGTTCTATAATGTCTTGTACTTTTGTTTATTGCTGCCTTTGCAGACTGTTTTTCTCCTTTGGTAATTTTCTATGCTGTAACGCTTTTATTTTTTTTTTTGGCTCTGCAGTTCTGTGCAACACTTGGAACCACCTCTTGCTGCTCCTTTGACAAACTCTTAGAACTGGGTCCTATTTGTAAGTCTTTGCTGCTTCTTTCTAAAATTTCAGATACCAGTTTAAGCCATGCTGAGTCATTTCCAGGACATTATGCTGTGTCAGTGTCCAAATACAATAAAGCTATTTACAGATGAGACCTTCAGTTACAGTTTTATTTCTAATATTAGGTCAAGAAGCAAATGTGCATTCTCAAGCTGTTAAATGGTTAGAGGACATTGCCTTGAGGGTTTCTTTTCCGTGGGGGAGATATATTTTGGAATACTTAAGAATTACTATAAGGGCCTCAGTTTGTGACATACTTCTTCAGACCCTTCTGCCCTGCAAGGACATCTAGAACAATGCTGAATATCAGGGAAAAGCTGAACTCTTAATTCTGCTCTGCACCAAGTGTTTTGTTTCTGCCTGGTTATAATAACTATAAAAGGTAGGGAAATATGCACCAAAAATCCCCATCTATTCTTAATCCTTGCTCTCCCCTTCCCAGTTTCCTTCCTCTTCCAAGAAAATAGGAAAAATGCCAGTGTGTTTACTACAGTGATAAAGTCATGGACTCTTCATAAGTATTTCTTTCTGTGTTATGGTTTGTTGTGTCAAGCTTTGATCTGCAGCAGGGCTTGGTCAAATCCCATGTTTGCTGGCTGATGAAATTGCTACCAAAGCACACCATATCTCTCCAAATGAGAACAGGAAATCCATAGCTGTAAACCACTGGAAGCAACTTCACAGAAACACAGCTTGATTTGATGTTCTGTTAATTTATTCAGGGGTCATTTGCTCTGTGAGGTTTGCTGCCTTTCAGCACAAGCCTCAGTGACTCAATTTCTCCCAGTCCTTCTTTTTGAGCAGGTTCCTAGTAGTTTGCTTAGCAGCTACAGATTGTTTTGCTGTTTGTGCTATTCCTAAAGACCTACTAAAATAGTGACACCAATATTTTCAGGTGTAGCAATAATCATGTGTTTCACTTCAGTGATTCCCTGCTTGTGTAGCAGAGCCAAAAGGATGGCATGCCAGTGAAGTCAGAAATCTCATGCTAGCTTTTCTGCTTAATCTTATCCTTAGCATACATGAGCAGCAGTCCTGTGATATGAAGGCAGTGTCTCAAATCAAGTATATTTTAAAATAGATAATCACTTAAACATTCAACATGTTTTAAAATAAACCTAAGTTATGGATGTTGTGAATAATATTTTATTAGCTTTCCCAGACATTCATGCAAAAAGAAATTTTAGTTCACAAGAATGCAAATTTATTCATGAACTTGGTGCCAGACTGCAGATCTCAGTGGATGTACCTCTGTATGTGGAAATAGCCATCAGAATTATTTGGTGGCAAGTGTAATGTGGGCTTCAGCCATCACCTGATAGACCATAATTGTTACTGAGTGCATTAAAACAGTGTTCTCCAGTAGAGTGGGAATTCTGAATTAGAGTATACCTGAGCTGCTCATATTCCAAAATATTTCTGCAGAAACCATTCAGTGACTAATCAAAAGTAGCACTTTCTCAGCATTTCAGTGCTTGCTTTTGCCTAAGTGTCTCCATCCTTGAAATGAGTAGTTTGCTGCACGTAGTTCAAAGCATGTGCATGCACATTTATCAATATGTACAAAATTCTGTTTAGAAATGTGTTTGTGAATCATGAGTTAGAAGGGGAACACATGTAATATTCTATCTCCTGCTAAAGTAGTTTTATTAGCATATAAATGATAGCTAAATCTCTATATACATTTTTTGAAAGTTTATTTTATAATGGTTCTTAAATTAAAACCACAAAATAATTTATGTTGCTTAATTTTAGTAAGATAAACCTAGAGATGATGATCCTTATGGATCCTTTCCAATATGGGATATTCTGTGATTCTATGCTTCTGTAACTTTTTTCCAGCAGAAGTGGGAAGGAAAAATAATACGTTATATATATAATTTATGTATTAATGAAAACCCAGATGGTGGAAACATTTAATCTCTTAATTTAATTTGAAATTGGGAAAATAATAACATCAAAGAGAAACCTCTCAGGCACTTGGTTTCATGCAAAATAATTGGGCTTTTTAATCAGCTGTTTAATTTATTTCCTTCAATTATTTTTTAGGTAATAAAGAAAATATCTGGATGCATATTGATGCAGCCTATGCGGGAAGTGCTTTCATCTGCCCTGAATTCAGGCATCTTTTAAATGGAGTGGAGGTGAATGAGTGTTTTTTCTCTAGCAGCCTGCTGAAACCTTGCTCTTTTATAGAATTTGTGTGTTTTTTATGCAGCCAAGATTAATGGCTCTTCCAGAATCTCTGAGTAAGCTGCACCTCGGTTTGCACTACAAATCCCTGTACATTCAATTACATTACTTAAATTTGTAAATTTTTAATGGTTTACACTGGGGCTATGTGAGTACCCCTCTGTAAGAAGTGTCATTCAGAATAACAAGTAGTACTGAATCAACAAACAAAAAAGAGATATTTTCCCCAAATATCACTAAAGACATATTTGTAACATCCTACATTACACAAAAATGAGAAAAAAATAATTTTGACAAATTAATGAGCTCATTATGTCAGGTTTTCTTCTTACATCCTTAAATTCATATAGTATAGAGCCAGCAGCAGTATCTCAAACAGACAGGGTTTAATAACCAAGAGACATAAATGAAATATTCCCCTAACAGCACTGCTGCTCCTTTTCCGCTGCCTTGCTGAGCTACTTGGCATTCAGTTGCTTAGATAAGAGTACTTCAATTTCCTGCTGCTCCCCTCACTCAGATAAGTCCTTGTCTTCCACGCCAGTGGAGAAAATATTACTGTTTGGTAAAGCCAGAAGTTTAAACACAGCACTGATAGGCAGTGAGTAATGAAGAAGAGGCGGGAAAACCCCCTCACAAATAAAGCATTTCTTTTTGTCTCCTTTTTATCAGCAAATGAAGCTTGTTGTAATTTCCTGTCGGGGAATATTTTTTAAATTATTGTTATTGGTTCCTAAAGGAAATGAAACAGCATCCCTTGTCTGGGCCAGCGTTTGTCATCAGAGTAAATATTTGACAACCATGAATAGGTTTCTTACTTTACATAGTACAGGGTGATAGCAAGATAGATGGATAGATAGATGAGTAGAGAGACAGGCAGATCATCTTCTCTTATTAGAGCATTAGTTAATTGTTTACAAGTGACAGGGAAGGTTATGAGAAGCAAATGAGAACAGAAAAGTGCAATATGGAATTGTCAGACCTTGGTGCTGCTGGGTCCCCATCCCCAGCTTTTTAAGGCTGGTGCCTTCTGCCTTTCTTAAAGCATAAAACATGGATGAAACCTTTCTAAAATTTTTACCCACCTGGGTTTTTTCTGATGCCCCACCTAAACATGTCAATTAAACCAGGCGTGGCATATGGTGTATAAATGTGTATTTATTGCAAGTGCTTACTTTTTTGGTGGTTTTGATTTAGATGAAACAATAATTCTATTGCAAGAAAAGACCCTGTAAAAAAAAAAAAAAAAGAAAAAAAAGAAGAAATATTTCCTAGTCAGTTGTAATTTTTGAAGGAATATGATGTGCAGATTCTGAATTACACGTATAGTTTCTTTGTATAGTTTCTTGCTATATATGAATTTTGTGTCTATTAATTTCATATCCTAGAAAACATAGGGATTTTTTATTGGAAAATGTGATATGAACCCCAATAAGTGTTTCTGAGTATGCAAATGCATTTATTTATTTATTTATTTGTTTAAGATCACAATAAGATATACACTTTTCCATAACATATGTAGCAAAAAAGTATAATTGTAAACAAATTCTCAAAATGTTAATAATACCATTAGCCTTACTCCATACCTAACATGAATTCCACTCCCAAAATAAATGAAGATTTAACTCCAACAGTCACTAAATAAGGTGACATCAATATGAACATTATAAAGACCTGATCCAGGAATTGATTTATACTTATACAGACAATTTGACAAAGTCATATCATTATCACATGATTTCTCTTTTGTAATTCTGTTTTTATTTATCCATTCTCAGTTTGCAGATTCATTCAACTTTAATCCTCACAAATGGCTTCTAGTGAATTTTGACTGCTCTGCAATGTGGTAAGTATTTCAGAAAGGGAAACATTACAAGAAACAAAAATGTGGTTTTATTAGTCTTCCTTTCTATGAGTAGACATTTCTTTATATTTTTCAACTGAAATGAGGAAAACTGCATAGCTTTAAATCGTATAAATTATTTACAGAATTCAGACTTTCATTTAATCCAAATTTCAAAAACACAAAGTTCTGAAAGAGACCTGAACTCTGCATTGTGTTCCAAAAAGAGAGAGGAGTCCCCAAAAGTCTGAAGATTTATACTTGCTCCATTTTGGGACTGTTTAAAACATAAATAAAAAACCTTATTTTAAGCATAGCAATGCAATGAACAGCATGCTAAACAGGGGTTTTTTTTCTTTCTTTCTTCCTTTTCTTTTCCATAACATTTCTTTTGGTTTGATTCTTTTAAAAGCCGTTCTAAAAATGTTGAAGATTTGGCTGATGAAAAGCGGCTGATTTCAAAAAGGCCTATTTATGCAATTTTGTACTGACTTTCAATTTCCCCAGATGACAGCCCAGACATTTTGATATTAAATGATGCTGAAATAGAAACCCATAGACATACTTTTAAACAAAACAAAGTATTATGGCAGTAATAATAGCATGGGTTTGTTACAAACGTTCCATGGATGATCCAATTTTGTCCCAAACAAAATGATTACCAGCATCACAATTAATGATACTTGTTAGCAAAACTGCTATTCAACAAATGCAGACCATTTATCAAAATAAATGAAAACATTAATTTCAGTTGTAAAATAACAACATTTACAAAAGAGGAAAAAAGAAGACTCCAAAACATCATCCAGAAATAGGTCAGCCATTTAAAAGAGGAATAAATGTAATACAGTGATCACTCAGTTGCTTTTGGTTAACCTTCGTCTCTTTTAATTTCCCTGGCAAAGTTGGTAAAGTTGGTAAATAAATATATTACCTGAAAAGGTAATACGTTACCTTTTCAGGTAATATATTATGGGTTTTACTTTAATATTTCAGCTGTTGTAGGCATTTTGAATCTTCCCACACATTGTGGTTTTTTCTTTTCCTTAGGGTAGATGGCTTCCATTTAGACCCTAATTTATCAGTAGTGGCAGCACCCCATAACGTGCTGTGTCTCTGGATGTTGGGAAGTGGGAAGATGAGGAAACAAACTCCTTTGCTAATTCCTCCCATCTTTTTCTCATCACTCAAAGACATTGTTAGAAACACAGCCACTTGCAAATTAGACAATACACTATGATTTTCCTTAATGTTTGTAGAACAATGAGGAACCACAGTCTAGTTCCTAACAATTTAGTTTCTCATTAATCCTGCTTTCCCTGAAAACCCTGTGGAACTATGTTAAAGTCATTTTATCTGGCTTTCCAGTAAAACAAATTATGTACAATCACACTGTGTGTTCCCATCTCAGGTGACTTTACGTTATTCCTAATAAAGCTTAGACTTTAGACTTAGGGAAATATTTTTTCTGCATTTTGTTTCTTTTGGGTTTTTATTTTTTATTTTTAGATAAGACATTGCATAACATGCTTGTTTTCATAGGTAGGAAGATTGCAGTAAAAAGACTCTGAAGAGACCTTGCCACGTCTCCCTACTCAAAGTAAAAGTTTCACAACTATAGCCACTCAGGCTTCAAGTCAGCTAGGCATTTGTGTATACGGGTTATTCACTTAATACAGAATAAATATACACTTAAGCTCTTTGACTTGAAGCCAAGACCATTGTCCAGCAAGCTAATTCTAAGACCCATGTCCAAAATTCACCTGCCTTACCAACTGTAACACTCCCTGAGGAGGTGAAAAGTACTAATAAAGGATGAAGGATGCCAAGAAAAAGTAACTGTGAAGAATACATTCTCTTAGGATCCATGAAAAGTATTAAGTAAGATACTGTGGTAGTATGGAAAGAGGAGTTCAGTAAACACTGAACACCATTTCAGAACCAAAGTAATCTGTGCATCCATTGATGACCAGACTCCAAAATAACTCAGACTCCTCAGCACTTTCCCTAATAAACACTTCCATTTCTTTTCTCTGCAAGCTGATTAAAATAATCTACCCATTAGATCTGTAATGTAATTATGTAACTAATCAGTGCAATATGTGGCACTGATGTAGTTTCAGATTTGGAGACAATTTCATTATAAACCTTTTGTAAAATATTCTCAGACTTCCTGATGTACTGAAAAGAGCAGTCAATTTCCTATAAAAAGGAATTTAATAAAGCCAGTCCAAGAAGGGTATATTTTCTACATTCAAATATCAGAGTCCTTTAGAGACTTTCTTTTGAACCTACAGTCAGATTTGCCTGACTTCTTTAATTGATGCTCTGGAATATTATAAAATAGGACTAAGTGTCTTCATTCAGACAGAGTGAAAATAATCTTGCAAAGTCTTGGTATTTTTGACTTTTATTACTATTTTCAAGGTTTAATTGTTAACTTTTGATTGGGAAGGGTGTTTCTGTAACTGGAAGAAGGTGCTTACAGGAAGCACTTATCTGTAGATCATAGAACACAGAATAGTTTGGGTTGAAAGGGAACTTAAAGGTCATCTACTTCCAACCCCACTGTTATGGGCAGGGACACCTTCCACTAGCCCAAGTTTGCTCCAAAACCCACCCAGCCTGGTCTTGAAGAGTGCTTGAAATGAAATTGTATTTCACTCCCCAGCTGTAGCTGAACAAACTTGAACAATCTACTTGAACACAAACTGAAATTTTCCTGGTGGTTCGTTATATGAGGTCACCTTTTTATCTCTCATATAAATGCACAAAATAGAGTGAGGTAGTTAAAAGCTGCAGATGTGCATGCAATTCAAGTAAGTCACTTCTCACAGATTTTCACTACTTATTTTTACCAGGAGTTTTGTTGTGCGTTTTGTATTATGAATATTAATATGTGAATCTGTGCTACTTAGGCTAGGTCTTGGTCTATTAGCATAACCTCCAGCCTTAAAAAAATTGTAGTTTACCAGCATAATTTGTGAAATACATATTCACAGGATCACAGATTCATTAGGGTTGGAAGGGACTTCTGGAGATCATCTAGCTCTATGGTTTTCCTCTTGAGAGGTGGTCAAGGAACATCTTTCAGGCTGGTTGATAAAAGGAACATCTTTGAGGCTCTGCCTCAGAGCCCCTTTAACAGAGAGCCACCCACTACAGTCACTCAACTTTTCTTTTTACAGTAACCACCACATGGCTCCTGATGTAGGCTCACCTTGTTTGCCTTGCTCACAGACATCTAAAACCTCTAAAGAATCGTACCTGATTTTGCTCTGAATGTTGGAGGGTGGAGGTTGGTTGGAGCCCTGCTTTTTTTTTTGATCGCCAGGGTCCAAGGTGTCTCAGTGTTATCCCCTGGAGGTGGATGGTTCTGGAGCCACACATCTACCTCTGTTTGAGTCCCTCCACTACCACAACAGCCTGTTATCTGTGTCTTGTAATGCAGCCATTTGACAACAGGTCATCCACCCGTGCACACCTTGTGCAGGTACCAGCCTTTTCTCCAGGAGAATTATCTGGGTATCCATTGCAAGCTACCAGCAGCACTGACACCTCCTTCCTTACCAGTTCCATCTGAGTGGCAGCATCAGACTTCTCAGGGGCTGCTCCACTCAGTGCACTGGGTCTGGCTCCAAGGTGGGGGCTCCCCATTGTGGCAGAGACCTTGAGCACTGAGCACTCTGGTCTGGATCTCCTTAGGACTTGCCTGGGTGTGGACCTGCTTGCAGAATGCAGCAGCACCCTTTCTGCATTCCCTGCCTACAGAAATTTCATTTTTGTGTGTTCTAAGCTAGATGTTGCTACAGAATAGTTACCCTTCCCATTGTTTTATACAGCATCTTACAGGAGAAGAAATAAAGCATTCACAAAACATCTTAAGACGTTGCTTATAACTTGGATTAGCTACATGGAGAATGAGCTACTGAAACACAAATATACCAAAGTAATCAAATACTTCAAATAAACTGCAGTAGAACAACATAAAATCTGTTAAAAATATTTATCCTAATTAAACCTTTTTTAAATCATTGTTTTCTTCCTTTTGTCCACAGGACATTTTTAGCAATAATTAGGTTATTCACTGTCTTTATTTTACCTGAAAATCTGTCACTATTTTTCATATGCCTAAGTTTACTTATTTTCAGCCATGTACTTCCCTTACCTGAAGGCAAATACTTACCTGTTGTCCTTCATACTTCCCTGACCATTAGAGAGATGAAGGCTTTTTGTTTGTTTGAAAAAGAAGTTTTATGACCACAGTCTAGATGTGAATGAGACTGGGAGTATGTACTGGCCTGTGCATTTATACATACACACTAAAATATTGGAAATTAGATTTTTACTTAGAAATTTACAATTCTACAATAAACAATTAAAACATAGAAAAAAATTTTGGATATTTGTCTTTCAGAGTATCCCTGTGTTGATATAATTTTTGCTTACTTTGTAATATATTTATAGGCATAACATAATGATGTAGCAGTCTTTCCCTTTTTGATTTATGGTTTCTTCTTCTGCCTCTATAAACCCCAACATTTGTGGAGGTGAGTCAGTCTTATTCAGCATGAACCACGAACCAGAAAAATCTCGTTATTAATCACTGGCAAAACACAGTTTATTCTCTCTAATAGGACACACTGTCTTTTGAACCTCAGTCCAGTCTCACCATCCCTCAGCTGACAATAGTAAGTTACACTTCTCAGTGCAGCATTGTGCTGCAGAACGTCTGTCAGGGATTGTGTAGTGGATCCAGCTGATGGCAGGGTGGTACAAGAGGGGAGTCAGAGTCAGAGCTGGGGCTTGGCCCTTCCAGGGGCTGCTCCTGCTGCTTCCACAGCAGCACAGAGAGGCAGTGGCCGGCGCCCCCAAAGTCTCAGCGCGGCTCTGCGTGATGTTTAGGAAGCAACAGCTCTTCCCACGCAGCTTTGTACTGCAGTAATTTCAAGACAACTTCTGTTGACTGCAAACATTAACATTGCTTCAGCTAGTCTCACATTCTGGTGTGAGTGTCTATCACCATAAAAAGATCCTCTATGTCTGTTTCTTGTCTGTTTTTAAATATGCAGTCGTGCAGTCATGCTGCCCGTTCCTGCTGAGCCTTACACTTAACGCTTGTAAGTACAGTACTGATATGGCTGTGAAAAAGCACTGAAAATGGCACAGGCTGTGCTCAGGAAATATGCCAGTTTAAACACATTCAATTTGACTTCACTTCTTGTGGAAATTTACTCCCTTAAGTCTTTATTCCTAAATTTCTCAATTTGATTTCTTTCTTTTTTTTTATACAGGGTGAAAAAAAGATCAGATTTAATAGGTGCCTTTAAATTAGAACCTCTTTACCTGCAGCATCACCATCAGGAGTCTGGTAATTTTATAATTAAGTGAGATTATTATTATTATTTTGTTTGCACTCTGATGTTTAATGGGAGAAAAAAAAGGACGTAAGATGAAAAAACAATTCTTAAACTACCCAAGTTGTTTAGGAGGCCGTTTCCATTTTCTGAGCACTCTAGGGAGCTAAGCTCATTAAAGTGCAAATACATGTCTAGTGAGATTTTAGTTAGTTAAAAGCAGTACAAGGAAAGTAATTTCATAAAGCATTATGCATTACTACTTTTGTATTGGGATTTCCCCAGCTGCAGACTTACCACTGATTGATTGCAGGAGTGTTGAGAAAATTCTCATTAACTTTTGGCTGTCAGATAAACGTATTATTGGGTGTTGTGTAACAAGTCCCCTATCCTGTCTTCCCCAACACATCTTTCTCCAGAATGATTTCAGGATCTGATTTAGTTTTAGAGTTTCTAAGGCCTGTGACTTTTTTTCTTAGTTATTCATGCAAGCTCTTGATTCAAATTTTTCAGAAAACATGTGAGGGAAAAAACACTCCCAGAAACTACAAAGAAGGGGTGAACTGTGTTTGCTGTCTGTGCTCTGCTTTTGAGTGATAGCTTTCTGGGACTTTATGCTGTGGCCCTCATGCTCTCACACTGGCTGTAGAGAAAGGCAGTAAGAGCAGACTATCTGTTTTGTATGAAATGCTCATGAAAGCTCTTTGCAAAATGCACACAAAGAACTTAAAAATCTCAGGCTCTGTACAAAGCTCATTAATGGATTAGTGCTGGTCCTTGCACATACCTAGCAACTGCAGTGGTATTTGCCCTCCTGAAGCCCATTTTTACACATCTGGGTATTAACTGAATACTTGTGAAGAAGGTCACAGCAGTGCAGAGTCAACCTGTGGTGGAAGTTCCCTCATAACTTGCCGAAGAGAGTGAATCATCTGTAGGTGGGCTTGCCATATACTCAACCTCATCGTTTTCCTGGAATTTCTGGTGTTGGTCTGTGTTCAGAAGTGTATCCTGATATGGCTATGAACTCATTGACAGTTAAATTAATACTGTCCACAATTCCACTATTCACTGAAAAGCCCTAGGAAAACTGGATTAATGTACCTTAATCCTGAATTGGCATAAACCTTGCATTTTATTCCTTTCCTCCATTTCCAAGGAATACAAACATAGAACAGTGCAATAAACAGGAACATGCAGTAATTCTGGAGCTGATCACCCTCTAAAGGCTCAATATATTAAGAAAAAGATATACCTTTTTTTTTTTTGCCTTTTCTAATGGAATATAAAAGTTACAGCAAATACACTTAAGGCACTAGCTTTTACTTAACATACACATTAAAAATATTTATCTTCAGGTGAAAAAATTCCAGCCTTAACTAAAATGAAAATGTTCTTGGGACAACTGATAGTGCTGATACAAGAACTTTTGGTCTTACCTGGGTTAAATAACACCTGAAAAAAACCAGACCTTTCTTAAAAACAGGTAGTTTCAGTAAGGCCACCTAGTTGACCAAAAAACTTTGTCACCCAGTTGGAGAAAGAGTTTTTTAGCTTTCATCTTGCATTCAGAAGTGGAATAGCATGTTAGATGATCTAACATACTGATTTCAAAGGAGATAAACTGATTACTAGCATTCTAGGGATGCCATTTTTTTTCTATGCTCCATTCCCATGTGATATCAATTTTCTAAGAAGTTGGACAACACTTTTCAAATGCAAAGGCCTCTGGTTAAACTTCCAACCCACACTTGCTCCTTCAATAAACACGGTCAAATTTGGTACATGAAGTTGCTGCAGTCCCCATTGACTCCTGTGTGATTTATGCGATGTCAGCACTCCTGAAAATATGACTTGCCAAATGGAGAGTCTTGAATTCTCAGTATTCTCAGGTCTGAGATTCCTATCCTGGTTTACTAAGTAAATTAAGTGGTATTTCTAAATTCACTTATCTCTCACTCAAGAATTTAAATGAGCAGAAAAATATCTCTATCCGTGAGCAATTACTCTTATTAACCATATGGCAATTATATGTGTCCCCAAGGGGAGACTCTTTATTTTGTCATTAATTATAATTTTGTGTGATTTGCATCACCACACCAGAAAGATTATACTAGCTTGCCTGGCAACCCAGGATATAGGTCAAATCCTCATGGCAGTGTTAGAAGAGTGCAGCTTTATACTCTATTGTGAGCACCACATACGCTCCCACAATGCAATTCCTCCTGGTTAAATACAGATGTAAGACTAAGGCTTGTAATCAAGGAATCAAGCACTAATCATTGATTACCTTCTGCTTCACAGCTTGTGAAAGGCGTTGTTGTGGATCATTAGACATAGCCCCTTACAGGAGCGTAGGATTATTTATCTGTCACCAGTTGCTTTACTTTCTTTGCTACCAGTCTTGCAGCTATCAAACAGAAATGGCTGCTACAATGCAGAAGAATGTGAATGTTATCAATTTTCCTCGTTACCAAGCAGAGACAACCACATTCATTTCCAGAAGACCAGAAACAGGTTGATGATTGTTGGTTGTTTTGTGGATTTGGGGTATTTTACCACCTGGAAAACAACATAGTGACAGGTTAAAGAACCTAATGTCCTTCTGTTACAGGGAAAGAAGAACCATGTTTTTTCCTGTGTTTTGGCTGCAAATGAGAGAACATTGGCAAGAGAGCTTGTAACACAGAAAAAAGTTGTTTGGTTTTTTCCCCTAGAAAATATAAAGGCTGAAAATTATGTAAATGGCATACACTGGTCAAATTCAGAAGCTACAGTTCAGCCTTCCAGTTAACATTTTAACAATTCAAGGAACAATTAGCATTTTCCCAAGGAATCTAAGTACATACTCTCCTATGTACTTATACTCCAATGCAGAGAAATAAAGCAGAATAAGCTAAGCAGATGCTTCCTAGAGAAGTGCTTTAAATATTACATCAGTTTAATGTCTCTTACTGGCTTACAGCAAGTAACTGACTATGTTCAAGTTTACTTTACTGTGAAATCAGTTGAATTCCTTGATTCAAAGAAAAGGCAAGTGAATCCTGACACTGTGTGCTTACATAAAAGGACAGCTGATAATGCCCTCTGCTTACCTTCCTGGACTGCTTTGTGGCTTCGTCCATCTGTGCAAGTGACTTTCACTCCATCAAAAGAAAAACCATAAAAAATTGCAGAATACTATTCTCCAAGCAGGAACAGGTCAAATTCTGAGTCAATTTTCCAGTCACTTACTAGAAATTCTGTAGAATTAGAAACAAATATATGCATGAGTATAAAAGGTGGATTATTTGAGTGTTACCAGTTCACTAGGGTAAAGGCAATGACATTTCACAGCAGAGAATGAGTTATGAGTGAGTCTGGGGATTCTGCAAACTGTTTAAACCAAAATTAATAATAGTTATTTTATCTACTGCTTGTTTTCCCTACATGAAGAAAATAAACATAATATTTGATCTGTCATCTCCATAGTATCTGCAGTACAATAGAAAGGAAAATAGTGTTTCTTCTGTAAACTGTTTGTTAGTGGCATATTTTGACTAGCTAAGGAATGAAGGTTATTGCAAGCACCTTCATTTAACATGCAGCCAAGTACCCAGCTAGATATTTAGTGCTCCTGTTGACACTGATGATGCAGAAATTTGCAGCAGATGTAAAGGATAGATAAGATACAGCTTTTTCAATAACATTAGAATTATTGAAGTCTTCGGCTGTTGTGATGATGATGCAATGTGAATGTTTTTTCTTTAATTTCCAGGTCTTGTCACAGATTATCGGGTAAGTAGAGTATCAATGTGATTAACACTATTACTTGTCTGTACTGGTATTTTTAGGGCTTTATTTTCCATTACTGCCATAAACTTCCAAACTTTATGTTTCTTTACAAGAAGGATACAGCTTGCTAAATTTTTAACAAATAGAAATTTGGGTTTTTTTCTGGTTTTTGAAAAAAAATGTTTAAAGGCTGAAATTGTCTTGCATGTGCAATATCTTTAGATTTAGGCAGTACAAAGAAATTTTCTAAAGTTGTGGGTTTGGTGGTTTATTTCTTTGACACAGTGAATAACACAATTTTAAAAAAATTAAAAGCATCTCTATTTTAATCTTTTACCATGGAAACATTGTTGTTTTGAAATGGAAAATGTGCCTGTCTTTGTAGATGCTAGCCCCACAACTGTATATGAGCCAATGTACATGAGTTTCTCAGATACTTGTTTTTCTAAAGCCTTTGAGGAGAATTCAGGATGCACAAAGAAAATTTGATTTGCCTCATGACCCTTCCGTTCTGACTCCAACCTCCTTTGCCAATTTTAAGTTGAAAATTCTGAGTATTAAATGGCATTAATAAACAGGGATTAATAAACCAAGAATAGATATTTCTTCTATTATTTGATCCACCTCCAGCACCTGCCCATAGGATGTGGCAATGTGGGTCACTTCAAAACCATGGCAGAGCATACTTTGTGCTGTGTCACTGCAGGGGTGGCCTCTGACACAGGCTCTTCTTTCTCTCTGGGCTGCAGCACTGGCAAATCCCCCTGGGCAGGAGGTTCCGCTCCCTGAAGCTCTGGTTCGTGCTGAGGATGTACGGCGTCAAGGGGCTGCAGGAGCACATCCGCAAGGTGACCGGGAATGTCCTTCTTGGGTACCCTCTGGTGGGATGGCAAGGGAAGGTGAGCTGCCTGCCTGGCTGCTCTCCATGGCTTCTGTGCACACATCAGAAGGCACAGGGAGCAGTTTGGGGCAGCTCAGTTCGACAAGGGTGCTGCTTGTTTGCCCCATGTAATGTCACCATTTCGTATCATGGCCGGAGCAAAGGTGCCATTCATTTTGTGCTCATGTTTAGGAAAGAAACATCTCAGAATTTGGACCTTCTACAGTATGGTACCACAGTTCCCTCTCAAATTAAGCCAGAGCACATAGATGGTTTTACACATGGATAGTCATTACTTCTCTATTTTATTGATATGCATGCATTGTTAGGATGTTTAGATTATGATTAAGGAATACAGGGACTTATTTGGCATGTCTACCTCTGCTGTTGCTTTTTTTCCTGTCTAAAATATAATTTTTTTAAAAAAAGAATGCGCACAATTTACAGTCTGTTGATACTGTTATAAGTACTAAATTTATTCTTGATGAAAAAAGGAGGGTTTTTAAATCACTAAAAAACACATGTGGCGCCCATCTAAATTATATATATATACTTCCTCTGTAGCAGTAAAGTCAAATTCAAGCATACCTTTCCATCTTTATGGAGTTCAGGGAAACCTCTAGTGAGGGGAGATCCATGGCTTGGCTCTAAATATTTACAAAAATATCCATTAGCTAAGGGCCTAGCCTAGCATACCAAATTCCTTGCAGACACACATTCCTTTCAGTTTTGGTACTAAACAGAAGAATTCCTAAGAAAAGCTTTGGAAGACTCATATCAATTGCACGGCCTTTTGTCAGGCTGGTTTCCACAGGTCAGTATTTACATTCAAAAAATTCCCTCTTTCCCTGTTTCCCACATATCTTCCTGCCTGTCCTGCCAAAAGCTGCTTGTCTTCATAGAATCATAGCTGAGGACCAAGCATTGATATTTTCTGTGACAATTCAGTTCAGGAAGGGTAAGCAGATGAATCTTTTCTTAAAGATAATGACTCCAAAGTAAAACCCTTGTATGTTTCCTCGTTTGCTGGTTCAGACAGCTAAGATTTCCAAGGGCTTGTTGAAATGAGTGTGTTTGGTTTATATTTCTAAGGACTAAATTTTTCTTCAGTACAGATATAAAAATAACATATGAAAAGACAAGAGGGATAATTAGGTGAAGAATTTTTCTCACTGTATACATCTTGAAATTGGAACCATTAATTTCTCCTCTTACCTCCTTACCCACTCCTAATGAATGCTGGTTCAGTGGGTTCCAAAGCATCTTAAAATAAACCTAATTTATATCTCCAGCAAGCCTCTGTTGAACTTAAATTTCAAAAAATAATTGCATTTCATTTGTTCCATAGCAGAATTTAAGGTATCTCTTGTGAGTTTTCAGATATTTTGATAAAATTATATCACTCGCTGGAAAATAAAAATTAAAAATGTGTTTCTTATCTTGTACTTTTTCCCATCTTCTCAGAAATTATCATGAGCTCCAGGTAGATTGTGATGACTTTTCTTTTGGTAGAGTAGTAACGAAGTATCTAAACCAGACTGACATTGGTTTAAATTTTCAAGCCTATAGACAAGTTTCCAAATTAAAAAATAATTTGGAATTTAGCTTCACTTGTTAGCTGAATTTTAACATTGCTCATCCCCATGCCTGGCCTTGAAAAGCTGTTTTCTTTTAAACATGTTGCAGCATCTTGCAAATAATTATATTCCCACTGCCGGCCAAGGCAGTCACAGGCAGTTCCTGCTCCGGGGCTGGTACTGTCTCCTGTGTACTTGGAACTTGTAGCTGGGTTTTAAGGGAAGCTCTGTGCATGCCAGAATTATTTCAAATGCATCAGATTATTTGGAGATGCATTTGAGTGAGTGATAGAGTGGACATAGGTGGAACAAGAAGAGACCTAGGGACAATGACAAAGGCAGATATTGCAACCTTCCAGTGGAGAACTCCAGAGGGCTGGAGATGGAGAAGCAGGAAGAACTGCTCTCTCTGTCTCTTGTGTTATTGAGGAGTTGCCCCAAGGAAAGGGTGACAGAGTCAGGCAGAAGCGTGGAGGTTTGAAGCTGCTCCTTGGGCTGGAATCTGGGAAAGGAGGTGCCTAAGTTTGCTCCTAAGTCATGGAAAACTCTAGGAAGTTCTGTGCAGTGTTTATAGGCTTCTAGTTAGGCTTCTTTTGTGCAGCCTGGTGTTACTTACAAAGGGATTTGAGATTTTCAAGAGTGAAGAGCCTCTGACATGGTATAGAGGGAAAAAACACTGTAGATCCTTAAGAACCCACCCTATTTGTTGTGTGGTAGCAAGTTTCTGTGTGGGAGACCAAAGAAGTCTGTAACTATCTCTTCAAAAACTTATTTTCTTGATGTAAACTGTCACAAAAATTATTTTTACCTCCCTTTTGTTAGTATGTTTTAAGGAATATATGTTTGTTGTGTTTGCAGCCTAAAGGTCTACATCAAAATGACCGGATAACCACTGCAATTTGGCACTTGCTCAAGGAGGGCATTTAGGAAGTAAAATATTCCCAGGAGATGAGAATGTGTGACTTGGATTTAGATTCAGTAACTTTTTTTGCTTTCCAAACATTCCAGTTATGCACTCTTTTCACACACAGCATCTCATATTAATCTATTGCAAAATATAGGTTTTAAAGCAGTGGTAAAGGGGAGGATTGTCATCTTTGAAGGATGTGGGGAAACACAAATACAAATTTTGGAGTTAAGTCCTAAAGCCACAGAGGAGATGTAAAAAGAGGGCAAACTCTAAAACAACAGGCTTCTGGACTGACGCCAAACACTCAGAGTCTGTATAAATGTGAAATCCAAACAGCCCATTTGCAAATGGCTCATTTGCAAACTGCTTGACCATTTCTTTATTATTCCTTTGTTGGTTTAAGTCCTCTCAAGGGAATCCTCCTTAGGACCACAAGTAATCAGTGTACTGAGGACAAAGAATGCCATTAAAAATTAACAGTAGAGTCCAAGAAGCTGGAACTGTAAAGAACAGCAATACTAGAGATTGAACTGGAGAGTGGCACAGTCCAAGTGGCTGTTAAGAAGACTCTTGTGACAGCATTTCCCTTCAGTGTAGTGGGATGCAGGCTAAAGCAGGAAAAGAAGTGAAATTTATGAGAAAAGTATGAAGTGATCAAGACTAGGGCAGTATGTTTATCTGCATATACACAGTAGTGTACTCTGATGCTTCAGAGATGCTCCCTGCAATCAAAAGCTATTTTAGCTCTTGAAGGCGTTGCTCAAAAATTATAATTCAGCTTGAACACTTCAATGCAGAAACATTTAAATGCAAATTTATATTTATATTCATAATTATAGTTATTTACTCACAGACATACATAGGAAAATACAGATTTTCTTAAATAGGCACCACATCTTAGTGCCTCGCAAGTTTACTCCTCCTATTACTGATTATGTAAGACATTTCCCTTAATCCAGAATAACCAAATTAATTGGATCCCTTGTTTTCTTTCTCACTCTTCTGGAGAAGAGCAAAGGTTACGTACCTGAGAAAATAGTGACATATAAGAAGGTTCTTTATTTCAAGCTAAATTGCACTGCAAACACTGGGGCTGTTATTCTGTTCCTATATACCAAGACACTTCAGGACACAAACACAGTCCATGTGATTCCACTCTGAGAACGCACCTGATGGAGGGATTGTTCAAATGGTAGTTTTAGAAACAGTACATGAGTTGGTTTGCTTATGTCCACACTTTTGTTAAATCAAATAACAGCTCTAATAAAATAATTTTGAAAAGTTAAATAATATTTGAATGCCAACTTCAAGTTAATGGTGCTAGGGACACAGCTTGACACAGATGTCAAAATCAAAAGCACTTGAGGATTAAGATATCCATAGGTCAGCCTTGGTATGTACACATTCAGCAGAAAACAGAACAGCCTGTCAGTTTTTTACTTCTCCATCTTTCCTAATCTGAGTTTCAGTGCCAGCAGTTTTATTTTCACAGTGTACCTGCCTGTTTTGAAAAGCTGAAGCACTAAAGCCACAGGGTGTCCTCCTGTCAATTATTGCCATGCTGACATCCAGAGCGTGGGTACAGCTTTTGGACTTAGAGAGGCATGTGTGACACCTGAATGCCCTGCAGTTCCACAGAACTTGAACTTCCAGGCTTAATAATATTTAACTTCCAGGCTTAATAATATCTAACTTTACTGCTGCAGCAATCAATGTAAGAGCAATTCAGGATAACAGCTTACAGTTCAAAGGTGCAGGGCCTTGGCTAACTGTATTTAGGCAAAGCTATACACGTGAAACTCCACTTAAATCCCCTTTCTCTTATTCCAGTTCAGTAAAACCTAACACGCTTGGTGCCCCCCAGTGTCTTTACCAATTATTGCTGTTTGTTAAGACTTGCTGTGAATATAGGTATTTGTATCCAGACATGAAGGCAAAATACCTCCAGAATTTTGGTTTGTGAGTTACTTAAAAATTTTCTATTTTCCCTTGCTTTTATTTCTTTCAAATTCCTGAAAAATCATTTAGTTCAAGAAGTGGACATAAATACCTGCTATAAAATGCACAGCTTGGGTCTGGAGTTTTCTAGTACAAACTTCTCACAGTAAGCCAGATCTTAAATGTTTGCTTTATTCAATTGTTACCCGGAAAAATTTTGATGCAATTCAGCTGGTGATTACATTCAGCTGGACAGTTGTAAAATTCTTATCTCATTGAGCATGATTTGTTTTATGGCTTTGTTTTCCAAGACATGCTACATGCAGTGCAGAATTTTGTGGAGCTGTGTAAAAGACATGTTTGGTTAAAGCTACAGAACATGAGGATAGGAGGAGACAGTAAAAGACCATTACAATTCCTGTGCCTATTCCACATCCATTTTTCATGCACTTATTATGCATACAAGTATCTGCCCGTATGCAGATAGTTCTGGTTGGATTTCACAGCAGTAAATTCATGCTCTGTGTATTAGCACAACATTCAAATGCCTTGGAAGGGATTGAGGATTTAATGGTCTCATTCCTGACTCAAAGAGCTTTCAGGCTAATTTTAGAGGGAGATGATAAATGGGTGTAACAAACAGCAGAGCAGAAGTGGTAACAACTGGCTGGTTACATAGGGTACCAGTAAGCCCAATGTGAATGTTTTGAAGAAATATTTTGATTCAATTAAAACTATGTTTTTCTATTTCAAGAAATAAAAAACCACCAGAAAGCTATGATTAAGATTGCAAAATGTGTTGGCTTTTTTTCTTCCTTTTTTTTCCTTCTCTGTAGTTTCTGTTTTGCCTCGTCCTTTTGGAAGAAGTTACTGTGAGATGATACATTCCACATTTAACCTTGACCCAAAGTAATATGTTTCATTTTTGTTTAATAGCCATTCTTGAACTTACAAAAAGTGGAAGTGCAAAAGCAAATTTTACAAAAAAGTTTATTTTTGTAAAATTATTTGCAGTCCTAAATATATAAAAGCTAAAAAATCTTCAAACGTGACTTTTAGGTGTTTCAGATAATTTTTGGTATAGACTGGCTATTGCATGAAGACAAACTATAATTAAAATGGCAGGTTTCTGTTGTTGCCTTACCTTTTTTGGTTGGTAGTTTGGTTGTATTTTTGGTTGGTAGTTTGTATTTAGAATAGTGAACACTAAGCTAATGATATAGCCATTAGGAGGTGGACTGGATAGGGTATTGCAGGTACCCGATAAGGATATGTGTTGGTTTTTTGAAAGTGCTTTAAATTAATTTTCTCTTTGAAAGAAAGCAAATAAAAACATGGTATGAATATGCAAGTATCACTAACTAATGATAAGACTTCCCAGCTGGTTTTTAGTATGTCTGTTGGTTTTTTCCTATTTATTTGAATTTTGGTTTCATCTGCTTCAAAATAATTGCTTTAGCTTGGTGCCCAGTGTCATCTTTTTTTTGCCTCAGTAACTTCTCAACAGGTTTGCTGAGATCTGCTGTCCATTTTCTTGATTATACTGCCATCAACTTTTTTTCAACTGAACCTGAGCACCCAGGACAGAATAGTGAGCAAGTTCTCCCTTTCTTCACAGATTTCTCATATTAAGTGGGCTATTCTAAAAAGTGTATATTTCCAGCTCAATTTTCACTGAAATTGTGACAATTTTCTCCCTGTATATCTGTGCGCTTCCCCCTTTCCCTCTAATGACTTCTGGATTCTTTAGCCATTCCTAGCCTAAACTAACAGTGGTATAAAACCCAAAGGAGAATTATTAAAATTATTTACTCCTCATGTGGTATCATATCAAATTGTGCTGAAGTGTCTCAAGAAGTAGACCAGCACTGCCTAAGACAGACTGAGATCCTAATACAGCAATGGCTCCATATGGTCTCTGGGAGTCATAAACGGGACGGAAGTTAACACAAACAGATGGCAATATGTGAATATTATCACACAGCAGCAGAAGGAACAGAGCAAAGGAATGGAAACTACTTCAGCACACCTTTTCTCTTGGTGAATCAAATGTATTCAATGTAGATACTCTTTCTCTTCTCAGCACATTAGGCTGTCGCATCAGTTTGAACACTTAGTCCTTCAGGATGAAAGGTTTGAGATCTGTGCCGAGGTTATTCTGGGACTGGTCTGCTTCCGGCTGAAGGTAAGGCAGCTAAAATCTCCTATTTCTTCTCTCATGGTTTATAGCAACTCCAGAACCTGCAGCTGAATACAGTCTTTGGAGTTGATTACTTTTTAATGAAAGTGAGCTTGTTTAGAACAAAGCAGATGAAAGAAAAAAGCTTTAGACAATTTTGTTCAAATTGAATCAAAAGCTTAAGAAAAATTACAGCATATTAAGGTATGGAAACATACAGTCAAGGCAAACAAATGTTTAAACTAGTCATATAAAATGACTTACATTCTATGTGCAAGGAGCTTTGATAAAGATGACTGTTTTAGTATATTTCCCTAGACTGCTGAATATGGTGAGTGTGTATTACTTGTTTCTTGTCAAGTTAATTTCTTATGTGTATACATTTAATATTCAGTTTTATTTTAAAAATACTAAGATAAAAATCAGAGCATTAAGCACTTTTCTTTAAAGACTGTTTTTTCATCTATAAAATTTGATGGTAAAACTGGAAAAATTGAAGTAAGATGTGTTTAGAACAGGTTACATGGGGGGCCAGCTTTCCTGCTCTGCTTTTTATTGCTGAACATGATCCTTTTGCCCTGTTTGGCCCTTTATTCCCCAAAATCTCTCAAAGAACCAAGTTCATTGATGTGGAGACCCTGCCCAACAGAAATTAGAAAATTCATTCTGTACTTAGAAAATAAAAGCTGCAGTAGTTGGGAGAGCTCATTTGTTTCAATCAGCCGTTAAAAGGAGATCAGTGTCTCAGTTTAGGTAAAGAAGTCATTTTCTAGAAGAGCTTGCAGTTAAAGCCTCTGCAGAGGACTGGATTGTAACCCTGGATCTGACCACCAAGCAACAATAACAACAACAGCACTAGTGTTTTCTAGTTAACATGATACCTAAATGAGCTTTTCGCTTTTCTGAAGGCTTCCAAGCACATCTTTTCTCCTTCTGGGTAGTTCATTTTTAACAAATTCTTTTCTCAGTCATTCAGTTGCCCCAGTTACCTGAGTTTGATGCAAATGGTTGAAGAAGCTAACAAGTAAATAATAAAGTAATGGTGAGTTCACCTGGAATAGGAAAATGGTTTTGTTTGACTTTATAATGTTTAAACCAAAATTTAAAAAGACCCTGTTTATAAGGGATCAGACATCTTACAGATGTAGTTTTTTTTCAGTCAATGGAAACATGAATATAATCTCTTTCCTAACAATAACATTTAAAAGATGTTGAGGGATATATTCTGTGGCTGTTATTGCTCAATAACAAAATGCTGGTTGCAGTCTGCTCTCTCACATGGAACAAGCAAACACTAGTTTTGCAGATCCAGACACAGCTGTTAGTCAGTGCTCTACATTTACTTTGAAGGAACAGTTCTGGTGAAATAGAGCATAGCAACACAGGAATTGTCACTTTTGATCAGACCAGTAGCTCATCTACATCTGTTCTCCTGTCCCTCATGATTCAGAGGAAGAAATTGCATCTAAAGGGAAAGACAATTTTACAATAGGACATAAATATTGGACCTTTAGCAAAGAAACCTTTGGACAAGTTGTAGAATAAAGGCCTGATTCCACTAAAAACCAGTGTTAAAAGAGCATTGTTGAGCCAAAAATATGAAAAAAAAAAAAAAACCAAAAACCTAGCAAGCTTTCAAATTAGGAGCTTTTTATAGCTATTTTAACAGCTTTATTTGCTGTTTATATCACTCCTTCAAAAATCTTTCTGTCATTTTTATAATTCATAAAATCATATAATTCATATACTTCACATATCTTAGAAGCAGGAAATTTGTTACTTTTATGTAGTTGCAGTAGGATTAAGGGTCAGGGGATGTGAACTACATAATACTGCACAGCTGTAAAAGTATGATTTTTTCTTCTTACTTCCTTTGTTCTTGAGAAGCCCTTTGAAATTTTTTTGCTTAGCTGTAACTTTTAATTTTTTGCCTTTCACACTGTTGAGCAAATGGACTAATTACCTATGACTTTCATATTATAATTATTTCATCAAATATGTCATGCCAAAGGGTTAGTTTTAGGCCTCCTTGTCATGACTGCAGATGAATACAAGTCAAGCTAGTAATTTCTCCAAGGGGGTGAGAATGCTGTCTTCTTGAAGCTCACAGACTCAATCAAAGCTGCCTTCTCAAAGCTCTGGGAGAGGATTAGTCACTACCAACTTCAATTTGACGTGACACCTGAGTGCCACAGCAGCCCTAAGGTGGAGCTGTGAGAGCAGAACAGAAGAAAGATAAATTAATCTTTCTCCCTCCTCCTGCCAACTTAACATCATGTAACTGCATGTATTGCCTGCAAGTCAGCGCTGTGCATTTGATATTAAAAGCAAAGACTGTCATTTTAATAATGCATTGCCTTTGATAAGAAAGCAGGACATCATTGTCAGCAGTGACTGACCTGTAATAGCTGGAGACTTACAAAACACCAAAGTTGGTCCATTTTCTTAGCTAGGAGCATTTCAGTCACATAAATATCTCCTAGAAGATATGAATTTTAGGACTTCACACCAAATTCGTCATAACTTGTGCTGAGACAGAACAAAGTTTTGACATGGGTTCAACTCTTAATTCTTAATATGATCTAAAAATGTGAGAATGATACATTTATCCTTGCTGCCAGTAGGAAACTGCCTGCCTTATGCTTTAGCTTTATATGGAAAAGGCTAAGCAGGAAAGTCACAATTGGATTTCAGAGAAGGTGTCTTCTGGTCAGGATGTTTTCAAGAAGACCAATGCTGCCACAGTAACACAACTTCTGCTGAACAGAGGGATTTGTCCATTTGCAACTCTTTTTCCACAGACTGTGTTCAGTAAGGGGGCACTGCAGTAAAAATGCAGATGCTCCCTGAATCTCTTGCAATTGTGTGTTGCTACCAGTGTAACAGATGGAGTAAAGGTTGCACACTACGTAAGATACTTCCTCTGAGGGCTTCTGTGGTGGGTAACTCCTATAGAATTGAGGCAAATACTTTTTTAGGGTTTCCACTGATCATATGAAACCTAATTATGCCAGGGATATATTACCTTAAAAGTTTTTTAATTAAGGGTAAGATTTCATATTCAAAAGAATCTCTCACAGCAGCCATGCTTAAGTGAGGAAAGTTAGCATAGCTCACTGCAAAACTTCCTCCCATGTTTGTTTGATTAGATCCAAGAAGAGTGTAATAACACAGATACAATAATGAATGTTTTTAACATAGCTCACGACCTTAGGTCACAAAAACGCAGTCAGCTATCACAAATGCCCCAGTGTGAGCACTGCTTCTAAACTGAAAGTAATGCCTAAATCTCTTTGTGGCCCAAAACTTCTCTCATACGTCATTATCTTTTTTGATCCTCTGATGGCAAAGCACTGAGAGATGAGAAGGTGACTGCTTGTTACTGGTGCTACTTGAGCTTGGCTGCTTGGTGGGATTTACATTTTCCAGAATTGTTTCTGAAATTCATTGCCATATTCATTGAATTACAATGATTTCAGGGCTCAAATGAACTAAATGAGGCACTTCTAAAAAGCATAAATGATGCCAAGAAGATCCACCTGGTCCCGTGCCACCTGCGAGAGAAGTTTGTGCTACGTTTTGCTGTTTGTTCCCGCACAGTGGAATCCACCCACATCAAGTTTGCCTGGCAGCACATCTCACAGCTGGCAACTGATCTTCTGAAAACATGGGAGCACAACCACCACCAGCAGTAACAGCAGTGAAGTATAAGTGGAGATGAGGTAATTAACTGGCTTTCTCTGTGCTGCCAAGTTTTATTTTAGGTGCAGGTGGGAAAGTCAAACTATGAAGCAAGAAAGTACAAAACCTGTTTGTTATATAGCCCAGCTGCAGTAGCAAAATCCTTGCCAGCAAGTTGAGTTGTAACCATAGCCATTCCTCCTCTGTACTGTAGTTTCATCTTGCCTGTTTCCAGGATGCACATAGCCAAGGAGAATTGAGCTGTCATTTGTTACCAGTTTGTAGTCAAGAGCATTTGTTCAACCAAGTAATGGAAATGGAAGGGTTGGTGCTCCCTCCATTGTCCCCAATCACCTCTAGCACACTCCCCCCTTTCTTCAGAGAGGTCTTATAACCAATTAATTTAACATTACTATGACTGCAGGAAGAACCCAAGTTGGGGAAGTTTAGTTCAGGTTCTAAATATTTTGGTATCTGAAAAGGCATGCACAAATATTGCCAGGATTTGGGGCACTACCGTGTCATGATACACTTGCTGCAGAAATTTTGTAAATGAACAAAGGACAAAGAACCTTCAAGACTTCCTTCACTGCATAGCCAGACTTAAGAGAATGAACATTAACTGATTACTAATCATTCTCTATTTTCCCCTAAATGGTTTGCTTTTTAAAACTGCAGTTTTGTCAAATTCCAGCAAATAGGTTATGCTGGCTATTGGTTTCCAGACTGATCATTCATAATGAGGTCCCTGAAAAACTCCTCCTAAAGAGTTTTGCCAAAAGCTATGTGCTACCTGATATTCTGTGTTTTTAATCAAGGTATTATCAGCAGTGATTACTTGAGAATAGTCTGTAAGATATGTTTCTGCAAAACTGAGCTGTGATTTGTTTTTATGGCTACCATTTTGATTACTTCATGGTGTAATAAATCTTTGACAAAATGTGCTAAGAAATGTGATGTCAAAAATATCACTTTTAGTTTCTCAAATTAGCTAGCAATTGAGAAAGCAAGTGACAATAAAAATAGGAAGTAAGAGAACAAACCCCTCAAATCAGCTTTGGTGCCCCCATCAGTGGTTTCCTTAGATTAAGAGTGATGAATGGAAAATGAAAATACTGGAAAACCTCTTTCTGAGAAAGTCAAATCATATGTCTTTGACAGAAACCATTGATACATCATCCTGTCAAATGCAGGCATAGTGAAGAGCTGAAATGAAAGTTAGAGGTGAAAGTCAGAACAATATCAAGTCACAAAGTACTTTTGCCATTTTAAAAACATAAATTCCAGACAGTTATTTCTGTGTAAATAAGAACAACATAAGTTGCTGCTCAAAGAAAAATAATATGTAGGATTCATTTCTACATATGAAATTGCATTTCAATATTCCTTTTAATGCTCATATTAACTTCTACAGCCTCTTGAGCAATGTGCACAACTATTCAGCTTTCCTGCTCCATCCCTTTCAAGCATACTTGCTACAGCTGGGAAGTTGCAAGCAGACCAGGGAAAACGGATCAGGACAGTTAATTTGGCACATGGTCTGCTTCTCCCTCTGTCTTTCCTGATCTCTCACTCCTGGGGTGCAAACTGGGAAGGACTGCTATTCCCATAAGGAACTGATTTCCCAGGTAACAGATGGAGAAAGGGATAACCAATGAATTTGATAAAACCCAGTAACACTTGAGCAGGTGACTGACACAAGACACTACTGTCAGCTACAGTGTCAGAAATTTTTATAGCATCATTCTCTTCAGCAGAACCAGCATGAAATTCAGCTTTTCTGTGGTAGCACAATGCAGTGGAGTGGTAGACTGCTATAATTTTTTTTTTAAACAACCTTAATCAGATCTCATGACCTGGAAAACAATGTTCATCCCTAACATGTATCTTCCACACCGATACAATTTTACATCTTTTACATTATGAAAACTCTAGAATCTTGAAGCCAAAGAATTACATGTTCTCTGCGAGACAGACCAGGATTTTGTATGTGAAATACATAACCAGGACTGTCCAGGAAAAAAAAAAAAAAAAAAAAAAAAAGAGAGATCAGATTTGGATCACAGAGTAAATCCAGGATAATTCCACTGAAATGAAATGGAGTTGCTCTGGGCTTAGGTGACTATAATTGAAATGAAAAATCTGACTAATAAGTATTGGAAAAGAAAGGCCTAACGCAAGGCACCCCTAAACTGAACATAAGAAGATTCTGCTGGAAATCTGCTCCATGGAAACCAGAGCAGAGATGAATGATGCCTGTGTGAGCCTCAAACTGCTGGAAAACTGGGATGCAAGCAGGATGCACACCCAAACCTAGGAGAGGTGAAATGTCCCGAACAGCCCAGAATGAGACACACATCCCTTTAGACATTTATGGGAAAATACTGCCAAAACTGACATTCCATTAAACATTTTTCACTATCTAGATATCAGTTTTAGAAGTGGCTGTTTTCCAGATACAGAAACTCCTGTTGGCAAAGAATTAAAGATAAAGGCTAATTTAAAATAAAGATGGAGTAAAAGTTAATTTTTGTCTGTTTTTTTTGTTTTGTTTTGTTTTGTTTTGTTTTGTTTTGTTTTGTTTTGTTTTAAAGTGACATTAGTAAATCTGTCTGATAAACAGCAGTGATGAGACCCATGGAATTACATTTCCCCCTCTCTAGCCCAGTACCGAAACCTGAAGTTCAAGTTCTGGTTTTCCTGAAATTCTAGAATGATCCAAATATGTAACCAGTGAAGACCTTCATGGTATTCAGTCTCTCATACCTTCTTCTCTCCATGTGATAATTCCTTCCTAGACTATTAACATTAGGTCATCTGAAAAGGAAATATGGGCTGTGTAATCAACTAGAGAAAGAACATTTTAAAAAAGATCATAACTGCTGTTTCTGTTCTGTAGCTTTGCAAGTGTCTGTACGTGAGAAACTCTGTATTTATGAATAGTTAATGTTAATCTGGGTTTATTGTGCCTTGTGTGCAAAAGCTAATATATCCTGTGCCTGTGATGAATACTGTTTGATATTAAAAGTTAATTAGAAAATCCCAGAACTGTACTTTGGTAGAATATCCACATCTCCAGGAAGACTGCAGCTATTAGAGAAGGAGGGAAAACCCTGATTTTTACTTTCAGGAACCTCAATTTATTTTTTTTAAACTAGCAAAGTACAGTCTTTACATTCTTAATGACAGATTATATTTTATTACTGATGGTGAAATAATGAAAATGTATGTATTTATGAAAGTATTGGTAATATATTATACTCTGAACTGCATTATAATTATTAAATTTTTAATTTTTTCTTGCATTTACATACAAGATTCTGCTCATGGCTGTTTTGTTGTTGAAGTACTACTCATCACCATTTGTGATGAGTAGTAATCACATTGAAGTTGCCTTACAACAGCAGTCTTAACCTTGAGATGTAAAAATTTGAATTGCTCAAAGACAGAAGCAAATGAGAAATAAAACTGATCCTGAAGATCGGGGTGGTTGGTGAGGGCAGGTTAAATAACCATCAATGGATAATATCTGTAGAGCATATGTAGAGTTTGTATGTTCTAAGTGGAAAATAATCAGAAGTCTAATGCTCTAATTATGATTTGTGAGCTGTTGACTCCCTTTACAATCTGTACCCAAAACCTCCTGAACACACATATAGGTTTTAATTGGCAATATAAATAAACCAAAACAAAACTACAGCTATTGTCTCTTTGTACTTAACTAAGCTTTTCTCGTCTCATTCATGCCAGATGGGCTGTAAGAGGCCCAATTTCCCCACTCTAATGAAGTCAGTGCCCTGATTTTCACCACCAAGGACTTTTTTCAATGTGTCCTTCAAATTACTTTGCAAATGAGAGTTGGCAAATTTTCCTGCAGGAAGTTTCCTCCTCAGCAACAGGAGTCTGAAAAATACTTGGCCATACCCAGAAGGGCCAGTGCTGACCCTTCTGCCAAGTTCTGCACAGTGCTGCAGCTGGATCCGCCACTGGAGCCACCTGCCCAGCTCCAGCTTTGGTTTGTAGTTCCAGTGACATCTTGTAGGACAGGGAAGGGGCCCATGACATCAGTCCTGCCTGGCTGCAGTCCCCAAGGCTGCTGTGCTCCCTGCCTCTGTGCAATCCCAGGGAAATCAGGCAAGCATGCCTTGGGAGAAATTTGATGGCAGCAGCATCACATGCTATTTAAATGTTAGCCCAGCTGGGTCTGAGATGATAGCTTGCACACCAGCACAGACACTTTAATGTGCTGTCTGCACTGATGGCATAACAACCCTGATGTGTAACAAAAACCTGACAGTAACTGCAGGAAAGGTTCCTCACGGGAAATAAAATGTTCACCCACACAGAAGCATCTCTGTTAATACCAGAGGTGTAACTGCAGCTTAGAGTGCTCATTTGCATCTAGATTGGTGTGCTAATTTGAACGTGGGTTGGTGTGAGCCACATGGGGACTCCACCACCACATTCAGTTCATGGGATACTTCCACGTGGAGCACCATCTTTTGCCCTGTATAAGAGTGTGCCATTCTTCTTGTCCTTGTCAGAGCTGTTCTCCCAAAAAGGGCTGTGCAGCACCGGTTGTGAATTTCAGGAGTGCTAGAAAGCGTCACTGCCGTGGTGGCTGTGGTGGTCCTGCAGCGGTGCCACGGGGCTGGAGATGAAACAGGCGGCCCCGGAGGCCAAGTGCTCGTGTGCCTAAGGTACAGGCACCCATCTCTGGCTGCGAAGTCGCCACCAGGGTTAGGGCTCTGTGCTTGGGCCACATTCATGGAACCCACCACCTGTGGAGCCCGTCCTGCAGGGAGGGCTGCTGCCAGGGACACAGCCCGGGACGCCACTGGCCCGGCCGCCTGTGAGCCCAGCAAAGGGCATCCAGACTGCCAGGAGAGGAACAAACAGCAGGCAGCTGGGGAATGCTGATGGGGTGCCCTGATGTTTTGGGCAGCCAAAGTCGAGCTTGACACAGGAAGAGCTACAGCAATTCTGCTCCTTAAATCACCGAACTGAAGGGAAGGACCTCGTCTGCCCCACAGAAATTGCACATCTCCACGTTCCCATTTTCTACTGCCACTGAAAATGGCCTGGACAGGCAATAAACGTGACAGAACCTGTTACATTCCAGCCTCTCCCTTCTTGGCTGCTCTGACCTTCACTGAGGAACCAAGCCCTGACCAGAAAGGATTTTCAGAAGGATGTGAGCAGGGCTGGCAAGGCGCGGGAGCCCAGACACCGGCACCGGGGGAGCGGCCGGGGCCGCCCGCGGGGGCTTCAGCGGGAGATGCGGGATGGAGCCGGGAAGGAACACGGGGAAGGAGCCGGGAGGGATCAGGGAAGGAACACGTGGAAGGAGCACACAGAGGGGACACAGGATGGAACACGCGGAGGGGACGGGAAGGATCCGGGAGAGAGCCAGGAGAGAACACGCGAAGAGTCCCGCCCGTCCCCTCAGAGCAGGCGCGCGCCCCTCACGCGCTGCTCTGGGCACGGGTCCAGCCCCGCCTTCCAAGGCACGGACCCCGCGCCCATTGGCCGGCGCGCGCCTCTAGCGCAGCCAATAGGGAACGTTCGCCCAGCCTCGCGCCGTCCCTCCCAGTGCTCTGGGTGACGTCAGCGCAGAAAACCCGCCCTTCTCCCACTAGGCCCGGCCTCCCGACCTCTGATTGGTTGCGTCTCCCGGCGCGCTGTTACCCGATTGGCGGGCTGGGCGGGGCGGGCCGGGCGCGGAGCGAGCGCGCGCGGTTGGCGGCGGCGGTGGCGGCCGGTGGGTGCGGGGAGCGGGAGCGGCGGGGCCGGGACTGAGGGGGGACACGGGAAGGGAGCAGGGAAGGGAAGGGAGAGGAGCGAGCGGCGGGACCCTCTCGCGGCTGTGGCCTCCGCTTCCCGTGACCTGAGGGGGAACCCCCTGCCGCCGCGCCGGCCAGGGCTCCTGAGCTGAGGGGCAGTGGCCGCCGGCTGGGCAGGGCGGCGAGGGCTCAGCCATGGCCGGGCAGCTTCCCGGCGGGATTCCCGGCCTGAGGGCACTGAAGGGCGGGGGATGTGCTCGCGTACCTGGCCGTGTTTCCCCGGGCCCCGTGTGGGCGTGCTCCTGTGGCGGCGGCAGCTCCCGCCCCTCCGCGCTGAGGCGAGCGCGCCGCCGAGTGCCAGATCCGTGGGCGGCCGTGCTTGGATACACCCCCGGCTACAGGCGGGCACACGGAGCGCGATATCCCCGTCCTGGCTGAGCGTGTGTGCGTGTGGCTCTCTTGGAGAGAAGTTGTGAGGCTGTGAGGACAACTAATATGGGTTAGACCAAGGGGAGAGAATGATGCCAGACGCTGTGTACGATGTATATAAGTAACTAAAGGCTGGGTGTCCAGAGGGCGCATCCAGGCTCTTCTTGGGGGTGCCGAGCAATGGGACAAGAGGCAATGGGCAGAAACTGAGGCATAGGAAGTTCCACCTGGATCCATCGGGAAAAACTTTACTGTGGGAATGAGCACAGTGGAACAGGTTGCCCAGAGAGGCTCTGGAGTCTCCCTCACTGGAGATAGTCAGGAACTGGCTGGACACAATCCTGTGCCATGTGTGCTGGGAAGACCCGGCTTGAGCATGGAGGTTTGACCACTGTGATCCCTTTCAACCTTCCCCATTCTGTGATTCTGAGAATAATCAAACTGGAATTTTAACCTGGTTACCACTGTTCACTTGTTATTCCCTTCCCTCAGTGTTATGAAGGTGACCACTCAATCCTTAAGAAAGTGGTGGTGAACTTGAGATTTTGTGCTCTGAATTATCGAAGTATTTCATGGGGGCAAATACTGCTATTAAACTTTTCCTGAATTTATGCTTTTATATCACTTAAAATATTTTTGATTCAACAGTTGCAAAAAAATTATGTACACAGTGAAAGCTGTTTAGAGAAAATAAGTAAAAGGCTGCAGCCTTTCATCCCCTGTTCATCTGTCACTCAGCTATGGACAGATGATGATGATGTGAGTTAGTATCACATTTTCTAAGTGCATGTTACACTTCTCCTGGTGCAAAAGTTAGCAGTAACTTTTCAGAGAGAAAGTCTTACTTAAGTGGTTTTGTTTGTTAGTTTTAATTGGATTTGCTTGTAGAGGTGCCAGATTTGCAGGTAAAATGTATTTTGACTTTTCTAAACAGCTCTACAAATTTGGGCTGTAGTAAAAAAAATATTCAAACCCAAATGACTTACATTCTCATTATATATTGTGTGTGTAACCATATAAGCATTTGGGCAATAAACATAATGTGCTCTCTGTTGTCTAATGGCATTTTTTGCAAATAATTAGGGAGGACACCCCCACAGAGCCTGGATTCCTTCAGTTCTGTGTCCCCAGCCTTGCATGAACATGGCACCTGTACCTTCCTCTGAACCCCTATGCAGTCTGTAGCTGATCCAGAGGGCTGCAGCTTGACTCACCCTCTGTTGGAAAGGGTGCAGGATATATGGACACGGTACTTTGCAGGGAAAGAAAGTACATCATGAATGGGAGCAAATAATTTCAAGTCAAATGAAATACTCCTCCTGGGACAAATGTCATCTTCCCTATTTCTTAAAAAAAGCCCTACACTAAAGGAGTTTAAATTCCACTTTCTGAAGCTGAGAAACAAGGATTGCTTTAAACATGCAAGACCTTTTGTCCTCTAAAGTTTAAAATGAGGACATTTTAGTGCCCTTCTAAATATAAGAAATAGTTTTGAACATTTTCTAGTAATCTGTTAATATTTTCTTAATATGAAGTCTTTGCTCCATTCAGAATTATTCATTCCATTTTTATCTCCCCTCAGAGACACTGCACACAATTTTACTTAGTAGCTTAATTGTTTCATTTTTATTACCATCACTGTAATAAATGAAATCATTGTGACAGTAGAGTATCCTCTGTCCTCTGCTGCACTGTGCCATATTCTGTCAAGTAAGAATGAAAGCACTGGTGATTTCATTTAACAAGGCCAGTTTTTGCTTGGCCATCTGTTACCATTCTTTGCAGCCTACTTACCTCCCCAGGAGACCTCTGGTTAGAAGCAAACTCTCTCTTTTTTCTTTTTCCCCCACTTTTTTCTTTTCTTTGGACAAGGAAGAAAAAAGAACCCCAGTCTAAATGCCTTTGCACCACAAAGCTGGTTGCTTTTTGAAAAGATTAAAGTGCCCAGACTGGCTAAGTAGCTTGCAAGACCTCCCGCTCTGTTTCTCACAGTTAAAATAATGTAGGTTTTCCTGTGTGAGTGTTTAGGCAAGGGAGGAAGCAGCTGGTGTGAAATGGCATTTTGTGACTGCAGGAATTTTCTGTCTGTTCCAGTGTCAGCCATGGAGGCCCTCAGGGCCAGCGCAGCGCACCTGAGCGAGTGGCAGAAAAGTTCCTTTGCTGTCACCTCTGGCACCTGCACCCCGGGGCAGAAGGCAGACGGGTACCGTGCCAAGGTGCTGCGCATTCAGTATGCATGGGCAAGCTCCGAGATCTCCCAGGCCTGTGCTGCCAGCCTGTTCAGGAGGTACGCAGAGAAATACTCCGCCATTGTCGACTCTGGCAACGCGGAGACTGGCTTGAACAACTACGCGGAAAACATCCTGACTCTGGCAAAGTGTCAGCAAAGTGACAGTGACAAGTGGCAATCTGCCTTGACAACAGAGAACGTGTTTGAATTGAAGTGTGTGCGAGAGAGGATGCGGGCTGGCAAAAGTTTCCAGAGCT